TTCAACCATTTTTAGACATGTGCAAAATTTTATTAAAACCAGCAACAGACTTTGAGTTAATATATATCAACATTTGTACTATCAGTATTGTATTGTATTATCAGTATTGTACTATATTGTCATATTGTTTTGTATTGTCATATGTAATGTATCTTTGGAGAAGGCGTTGATAAGTTGTAATAACTTGTGCCTAATCCACTGTCTGTATTTGACAATAAATATGTTTAAACTAAACCTATTGTTTTTGTTGTTTCTTATTCTAATTATTCTTCTTCCAATATTGCGGGTTCGTAATCTTTTCAATTGTTTTTAAGTAGGTCAAAAATCCAATATGCCCGCGATGACGTCATAAGTTAAAAACTAAAAAACGGCAATATCTCGAACCATTGATTGTACAGTTTGTGCAATAATATCATTTCTAGAGAATTTCCATATCTAACTTTTTTCCATGCCATATTAATACAAAATATGTCAAATAAAAAAGCTCGCTGCTGGGTAAAGTTTCCAAAATTTAACAATTTTTTTTTCAATTTTGAACTTTCTTGAATTTTTCTTCTTCAGATCGATGAAGAACATCCTTCTGATGAATTTAGTGTTTTGTTTTTCGGTGAGTCTGTCCAGTATCCAAGATTGTCGCCAAAGAAGTGAAAAGCCCGCAAAATTGTTAGCAACAATTTCTAGTTCTCTTTGTAAATCTTTCATAAGTTCATATTTTTCCCTAGATTGATTGAATTTGAATTTGGATTATGACTTCCTTCTTATTTATGTTGGTATATATATATTTTATAACGTAAACGTTATTTTTAGACACACCTATTGGCCAAAATATGGATATCAAGCAGAAGGTAAACTGTTTCGTGTGGTGATTTCCCTGGTGTTCCGACCGATCAAAAGATATTACTTCTGGAATAGATAACCCACCAGATACCTAGGTTTGTTATTGATATCTGGCTGAATTCGGGTATCTATCAGACTTGTGTTAAATGGGAAAAAATAACCAACAAAAACGATAATTTTACTTATATATCTAATTATGGTAAGTCGGTTACCGGTTTTTAGGCTAAAGGTACTCAGTACGCATAGCCTATTGCTACGGCCTTTCAGACAAAATTTACCGATCCTGGCCTTCTCATTGGCTGAAATATCGAAGAGTTAATAGAGCCCTCTAGCGGCAATTTTCTGCGTAAATAATGCCGCGATCTTTCAAATCGCTATTTTAAAAGCATCCAAAATTAGTTTATTTTTTTAATAACAAAACGATTACTATATATTTCAAAAAAGAAGCACAGTGTGGTTGAACTATTGATAAAGGGCCGGTTTCCAAAACGGCCCCTTCTCTGATTCAAATTTCCTGTTGGTGGTGCATTGCCCATGCCGTTGTGGTCACAAATCTATAAAGTATAAAGATTTAATTCACTTGGTTTGTTTTTATGGCTCCTCAAAGTTGTACCTTTCAGAAGCTGTCTAAGTGTTGATAAAATGTGCATGTTATGTAAAATATTAATGAAAATCTAATCAAATGATAGTCACCGTAAAGAAGACATTCATGGCATGATTGTGACAAAAAATCATGTTTCCATCGCGCCATTTGGCTGTTTTATGGAAGAAACAATCTCAAAAATGCCATTTTCGATGATAACATTTTAGACACAAAAACTGTGTTTTTTAGAGAATACACCCTTTTATGGGCGTTGGATGCAAACCAATTTTTATCCTATTAAATAGTACGTAATATGCTATTGATGAGAGGAAAAATCATCAAAATGTAAGTGGTGGAACATTTTCAAATGTTGGGTTGAATTAGCCTATGTTTGAATTGCCGATTTTCGACTTTCTTTAGATAATTAACAAAAAAACGAGAGTATTTGCTCGGTATGTTGAGAATATGTACACAGATATGAAAAAAAAAGTGAGAGAAACAGTTTTTCATAAAAAAAATCCAAGATGGCTACTTCGCAAGTCCCCGTGGTTGAAGACATTGGCTGACAAATAGACAGAACAACAAACAAAACGTGTTCCTTATGATTTTGGTTGGTTTTCGCATTTACGGGAGTGTTCATAGCTACGGGCGATTGTATAATACCTATATTTATAAGTTTGGTTAGTCACATGGTAACGGGGATCTTTCATATCGAGCCCCAAACATACTTTCGACATATGCACTCTGTTGCCGCATCGAAAACTATTTCAAGTTTTGTCGGAATTTCTTTACCTGTGATTGTAATGGTCGAGGGTTTTCCAGCGTCCTGTAATACCCAAAGTAGTACAAGATACTGGAGATGTGCGCACACATTCCCATCGTTCTCTCTCCAACTGGGCACTGGCAGTAGTAGTCCTTTATTGGGGCCTCAACATCGGGTGAAACGGGGAACAGTATCCAAACGTTATATTTCGTTTGGCTTTTGTGTCGAGAATGTATTTGACATCGGAGAAGGTCTGGGGAGTGCTGGTAAAGCCACACCTCATAGTCGCCGTCATCAATTAAATGTTCGGCGATGTAACCAGGAGTCAGAGATATCTGATATGTTCCACACGTAATGGTTCTCAAGTAATCAAGATCGAAACGGGGAAACAGTACTTTTTTTTTTTTTTTTTTTACACATCATAAAACTGTCATGAAACATCCGCTCTGATATTCAATATAAAAGTTTGTATATAATAAGCTATATAATAGGGTTTCAGACAAGGTTGTTACTCATTTCCCCTTTTCTTTCAATTTACAACCACATTCAGGCGGCGATATGAGAACGTTCCACCACATGGAATTAGCTGATTTTTGGTACACATATGAAACAAGTAAAGCTCTATCCGATTTTCTGATGGAAATTTGCATCCAAAACTATACAACAGGAGAAAATTGCAAATTTATGGCAATTTTTCTTCATAATTGTGTCTCTGCAAGTGCATTTTCATCCGAGAATATTTTTTTTTTATGTTTTATGAATAAACACGATGTTTTGGAAATATTTATCAAAAGAAATTTATACTATGTTGCTAATTACAATTTCGAGATAACCTTATTTTATTTACGAACTTATGTCTTTGATGCTGAATTTGACAACTTTATAAAAATACATTTTCACTGAAATTATTAAATCTGGGTGTCGGAAAGGTGTAAAATTATTTTTCGAAAAAGAAAAAAACAGTGGTTGAGCTAGATAAGAAATTATACGGGGGCAGGCTCCTATGGAGAATTAACATTACTGGAAACAGGCCCTTTTGAACAATATATTTTACGGAATTCTCGACATGACGTAAGCGTACAGAACACTGTACGTGCGAGTTGATAAGAAGCTAGTCTGGGGGCTTGGTTTGAATTATCAACTAACAGCACTTATAAACAAACAAAACTTACAAACAGAACATCAGTTTTGTTTTAATCCTTGTCGTTGTGGCAAGATCGTCTTAATATATAACATCACTTTACCTCAGTAGACGTCACCGAATTGGACTGTTCGTCCCACGCGCACACCCGTCGATATGACACTTTTTTTCAGGTTTTTCACACCTACCGCCATGACACTTTTTCAAGTTTTTGAAGATAAAAAGTTTGCGCTTCGTAGGCAAGGTACATTTGGTGCTCATGATTTATGAATAATATATTTTTAATACTGTACTGATCATGATGTTGACTCTGTCATAACTTATATTTTTTGTCTTTAAGTTTATTTGATGAAGGTTGATTGTGCTGATTTCTCAAGGTTTGTTAATGTGTATCAAAGTTCCTTGAATTGAAAATATTTCTTCAAACAAAGCGCGTATAAAAAAAACCCCAAAATATTCATGTTTATAATTATCAATTAACTAGAACGAAATATTTCCATAACATATTTATTCATTTAGCGTGTCATGGTGACATTATCTAATGCATTCGAGATCAGAAATAGTAGTAGCTATAGTGAAAATATTGTAAATGTTGTATATATACGGAAGTCTGGTTTAATCTCAAAGAACTATTTCTTTATAAACATAATTACTGCAAGAAAAGTCTAACCATGATACTTCAAGGAAGATAGGCATGTAAATACATTTAATGTAATTACTTACACTTTAATCTATCTGAAATGCTGTGTACACCTTATCTACTTTCCTCAACTACAAATATAATTACAATAAGTAAGGACTATTACTTTGCAATACATTCAAAATAAAGAAGTAGGTATAAAGTCCTTTCGATTTGTCTAAATCCTCATATTGATAGGATAGTCATTGCAACATCTTGGGTATTTTAAAGGTTTTATTTAGTCAACTTCATCATAGAGCTATTGATCATTTGGCTTGTGTGCGATAAATATATGGTTGGGTGTATTTTGTTATTTTTTTTTATCTATTTTGATTTGTTCACATTATTGTCGTCAAATTTGAAATGAGAATTAAAGAAGATATAAAATCGCTTAAAATTAAGAAAAATAGCCTCTGGTTCTCTTATTTTAGTAATTTTTGCATTCCAAAGTGTAGGAGTATGGGGAAAGTAATATAGCTTTGCGGTTATTTGTGAACATTTTTCAATACGTTTAGCCTTTCAGTACTTTGATTCTAACTTTTACACTACCAAGTGACCACTTCCGTGGGCTTTTATGTTCCGCAATCACGTTGTAGGCGCCGGCACGTACATGTATGACGTCAAACAGTCCAGCCCGGATGGATACAAGTTAATTTTCCAAGTTAGGATTTCGAAAGGTGCAATTATCGATACTTCACGAATAATCGATTGCAGATACAGATTCCTTAGGCCTAATTGTATCGATGCAGTAGGTAACCTCAAACAGACATGTGAAGAGGTCTCTGCCTGTAGCTATTTATAGATAAAACAATTACATTATGTATTTCTAATTTGCGAGTTTTGACACTTCACCCCACTCAGAGAAGATACATATATAACACATTTATACGTCTCTGCTCAGAGTAAGTCCCTGCGTGCGGGAGTCAATTGCCACTGACCAGTGCGCAAACTCCACGAATCGTTTCCGTTCTGGATAGACTTACCATAGCGTCTAGCTTGCTTATCCAGTCAACACTGAATGTGGATGTAAATTTAGATATATTTTTGAGTGGCATGAGATTTCATTTCAAGAAACACAAGTGTGAGTTTATGAATTTTTGTAGTTACATGTGTGGATATTCAAATGCGTATGGTGATCAGGATTATATTGCTTTGGATAGGGGGAAACAGGAAAAATGCAAGCTTTCGTTTCCCTAATGATTTACACTGTCTAGCTTTCTTTCGTCTCATACGTATCTAAATATGTAGTTTAGGTATCATGATGTGTTTGAGGTTATCATGATAGGTAAATTAGACTTATTGCGGGACAATGGCTGCTCATATGCAGCTGTATAAATGAATTATACCGGTAGTTGACGCCAGTGAGCGTTATTTTATAGAATTTTCACTGATGTTAATGGTGGTTTTAAAAACGTAATTTTGCGAAATGATGACAACAGTTCTATGGACTTTCAATTCCACTGCTTTTCCAATTGAAATACTATAGTTTTGACACAAAGGTAAGTCGGACAAACAAACAAAACTTTATTATTTCATAGATTTTGCATACCGTAAACATAAAAATTCAAAACCTGCATGTTAACATCTTGCATTGAATTGACAGGGTCTATCAAAGAAGTGTCAATAAGTGAAAACAAGCATTGTAAGGCTTTTTCAGAAAAGATCTCAGGATATGTTGTAAATATGACCATAATACACTTTTCTGCTAAGTATCATGTTGGTGATTGTGAAATTGATTGAGTTGGATAGGGAGAGTTAAATTTTCCTTGACCGTCGAGGCACAAATGTGTATTGCATAACACATGAGTAATATATGTATTTCCATTTGGTATTCCTCCTTGGCTTTCATTTAAATTGGACGTTTGACAGTGTCCAAGGAATGAACTTATAATCAGCATCGTCAAATGATATATGTTATAATACCGAAGTTAGCTACATCGAAAGTAATTTATTTCATTAGGATTCATTAGGATAAATTATAGATGCAGGGTTTCTAAACAAAACATCTGTATCCATATCAAAATATAAACATATGAAAATAAAAGTAATAACAGTTCGGTGTAATGGCTTAAGCAAAGTTTGTGATTTATGAAATATAATAGAAACGTTTATCTTTCCAGTGTTCATCAAGCAGCTTCTCAAATTCTACCAAAGTGTACCAAGTTTCAGTTACATGACAATTTTACTACAATGAAATTGACAGCTTGGCACAACATGTGTATGATTTATTCAAATCGCTGGATCTAGAGCTGATTTTAATTGTTATCAGGTATGTAGCTCAACAGCTGATCAATTTATGTGCTCTTCAGTTTTGATGTGTTTAGATCTAGAAGTCTCACAGTCTCTTCTCTCTTGCATTGAGTTATCTTCATAGAATAGAAGTTCTTATAATGTTCCAAAATATCTGAGTTACCTTGTTATCAATTAAGATAATTAGAATGTGCTTATTGCTTAACTAACAGGTATAGTGGTCTTTAAATATTGCTGATTGTGACCTCCTGAAAGTGTCCCATTTTGTTCTACATGATTTAACATGATTTAAATTGCAATGATAGTATAGTGTAAAACAGGATAGAAACAGGTATCTGATATCAGGTTCTCAGCTGGATCATTTATTTTACAGTATATATTATGTTTCTTTGATATGTTATTGATATTAAAGGATGTAAATTATTTATGAAATTTTGATCTGTGAAAGTTTATCAATCAGTTATATATTAGAAATTTATCTTATTTTTCAAGTGATACAATATAACATTGATAGTATCATCCATTCAGATGAGCATTTTATTCACTGCAATGAAATCTGCAGATTTTCCTGTTTGGATACAATGAAACGAAGGCTGAATAAGCTTTATTGTATTATTTCTGTGTACATTTCTAGTCTTCTCTTATCTTATGTTTAAAATAGTTTTGTAAGCAATTCTTGCCAGAAAACTGCTTGAATGGTAGAAAACAATGTTTAGCAATCCATTCAAGATGGCATCTTGTTTTTAAGCATAATGTCAAACTATTTGTCATCATAGAACACTATAATTTTCAAAGATTTTTTAAACATATAGTAATTTTTTTCTTTTGTTATGATCAGTATTTAATGAAATGAAAATGTAAGTTTCCTGTTAAATGTCATCTGTTATGATAAGATATTTATTTTTCACTCTTGCTGAATGCATTTGTGAAAAAAATTAGTTATTACACTTAAAACCATTAAATATTCTCTATTTAGTATACATGTATTTATATGTATCTATATGTCTACAGGATGGGGGAGTGTGTGTATAAGTCTGGTGACTTTGTTTGGGTGAAGGTCCGCACATACCCATGGTGGCCTGCACAGGTAATTATAGGCTTGCAACGAGACTGTACAATATTAGATAGTGAAATAATGCAAATAACAATCCACAATAGTGACTGGCAAGAAATATATCATTATATATCTATAAGAAGTGTTAATTATCACAATATTTTGTTTGTTTTATTGATTACTAGTGTCTAGGTCTGTTGTAACTGTATGTCGATTGTTTTTATCAGTGTAAAGAAAAGTAGGAGATAATATTCCCAGTATCCTGTTGATTAATTGATGTTGTTGATAGGCCAGGTGATTTAGTGTGATCAGTGTACTGAAGTTTGCTCTTGTGCATGTGTATACTAGTCATCAACTTTGATATTTTTGTTGTAAGGTGATCACAGAAGAAGAATGCCCAATATTTCACAATACCAGCAGTGCAAAGAAAAGGCAAATCTTGGCACATATAAAGTTTTTAAATGAAAATGCCTAGTAAGTATCAAAGAGATGGCAGTGGATTAAGATAGTTTGAATTTCTAATTTAAACATTTTGGTGGAAAAAACAGAATATTGCTAGCCTTTTCCAGAATATTCGGTGTGAGGGCAAAGAGACACTATTCAGCAACCACTACACATAGTTTTATGCATAGTGTTTCCTCGGATATGAGACACTTTATAAGTTCAAGTAGAAGGTGACTATGATGTGGATAAATCTAAGATATCAAAGTTTACATAATCAATGGCAGATCCATATAATGTACAGAAGAACTTAGTGTCAGTCATTTATCACATAAAAAATCTGGTAATGAAACATCGGGGCAATAAATCCCATGTTTGTGAAAACATGTTAAAACCAACAGAAAAATTTCAGAATCTTAAGTACAGTCTAACCTCATTATAATGCACAATCACCCCTGAAGTTTGGTAAATAAGACATTTGTGTATAAGAGATATTTAGTGTTTTGCCACAATTTTTGTTTATTAGCAGTTTTAGTATAAATTATAACGTCTTTCCCTTTAATACGGATGAATCAATCCGACAAGCTGGAGGCGTGTTCTTTAAAATTTTTATTCGGCAGTTGGTCTACCGGTTTCGCCCTTATAATAGGGCTTCATCAGGACTTTACTTACTTACGTACATGTACTTGCTGGGAAATAAGATTATCTAGTGATGAACTAAGTTATAGCAATGTTTTTTATCATTTTTTCGTATTTTGCAGTGAAGACATCACAGATATGAGGCTGATACGGAGACTGGATTGTTTGGAGGGAGAGTTGTTTACCCAGAAGGGTAAGTTTTAATCTCAGAACAAACCATTTTTTATGTGTAGAGGAATCATGTCATATTCATCCCAATGTAGTACATTGATGATACTGGTTTCTAATTTACCATTTTTGCAAATGTTAGGTACATAAACAAGTTTGTGTCATTTTGTCAAGCTTATTGGTAATTTTTTTTTTAAATAATAATAAAAATGCATGCAGAAAGCCATGATTAATATAGAAATAATTTAAAATTTTTACATGAATTTTTCTAAAGCAAAATAAAAAAAATTACAAAGATGTTTTTGTAATGTTTCCTCTCTGTTCATGGATAATTCTAAATGATTTTGGAACCTCCTTAATTCACAGGAAGTCTATTTGGCTGTATAAACTTACACTGTAGATATCATGAATTGATTGTTTCATTCCAAAATATCTAGCAGCTTTGTATATTTCCAGGATTGTCTATGAGGTCCTACTCTGAAGCCTTCAAGGCTGCAGTACTCCTGGCAGAGAAAGAATGTGGACTTTCTTTACTCTGCAAACAGCAAAAAGTAGAGTGCTCTAAAAAGAGGAAGCTTGATAATCAAGATCAAAAGAGAGTACAACATAGCAAAAAGTTTGTCGAGGAAACTCCAAGTAGAAAAACACATGTATTACCAAATTTTGAATCTGATAGTTCTCCAGATTTATTAACTGAAGTAAACACTGAACCATCTAAAAACAGCTTGAAAGCTGGACAGTCGAAAATAACATTTAAAAAAGTAAACTGCAGTAGAACTATGAAATCATGTCAAAATAGTTCAAAAGACTTGAAATTAACTTGTATGGGAAGTCATGATGGGCTCTCATCACCTCTGAGAGAGTCTGTATCTGTGTACACCAGTGACTATGGGTCTTCTCCAGGTATGCCACTATCACCAATGTCAAATCTCAATGGCAGTAGCTGTTCCTTTGACTTACCAACACCTACACCAGTAGACCGGAGTTTGCCTCACAGTAGCAGGTATATACTTTAGAATTGACAAAGCACAGCTTTTTCTGGGGTGTGTGATTCAGGAAGCAATATTCTGTTTCATTGTGATTTCAATCAAAATCATTTCTTACGTAACTCTCTCTAAATATAATACATTTATTCCTTAACAATTCGGTCGATGAAAAAGGTAAATCATAATTTGATGATAAACTGGGTGTATAAAACCAGGACAAACTACATACATTTCCCAGAACTTGTAGCATCATGTAGTTGTATCTCTTCCCATATGTTGCATGAAAATACTGTGATATAGGTGATGGAGTGTAAGGTTTTGGGTGGGTGTGTGTAATGTTATTTATATGGATGAAACAAGTAATTTTTGCTTAAGTGTGAATTCAAGAAATCTGTAGGATATTAAAGATCTTGAAATTTGTAGTCAGGGTTGGATGCTTTTACCGTATAAAGTTTCATAGACGGATATATTGATATAAAGAGGACTGTTAACTTTAAAATCAATTTGTTTTAAATTAAAGAGCCCATCAAATAAAATTCTTGTATTTGGATTATTTTCAGGCTGTCTTTTGATCCTAATTTGGAGAAAGACTTGTGTGATTCCTCAGATAGTGACTTTGAACTTCCTGATGGACTGTCACCTATTGTGGGAGGTACACCTTCACATTAATACATGTAGTGATACATTCAGGTGTCCTGATTAAATAAGTTGAAAAGCCATGTTTTAAATGAAAGTTAATTTTTGTGAGGAGCAATTGCTAGAATAATATTAATTAAGCAATTCTGATTTAGAATAGCAATTTAGATTTACACATTAAATTGAATGATCTCCACACTTAATAAAATAAAATTTTCAAGGATATTGTTGATGACTGTATCCGTTTGTCAGCCATTGTTGATGTGACCTTACTCTAGCTGGCTAATTACATTTGGTGATTGGCTGTTTAAATTGTCTGTGGTCTGCCATCATTTCTTAAACAATTCTAGATATTGCTATGTCTTGAGAAGTACTGGATTAATCTTTCTTGTATCTTATATCAAGGTTCACTATGGTACCTAGTAGTGCCCAGTCATTTCAAGTCTGACAAAAAGAACAAGATGGATGACAAGTGGTCATCTTGAATTTTGACAAAAAGTATTATTGTTTTAGGAGTAATCATGAATTGTTTGATTTGCTATCAAAACTTATTTTGAATTCACTCCAGATGGAGATTTTATTTTTTTTTTTTTTGTTAGGTGTACTGTAGGTTTAGATAAAGTTAAGATCTCAACAATCTCATACTGGTACCAATCAGATTCTCCTGTATGTAATCATATGATATGAATCTTCAAACAATAATGATCGGTAACAAAGGCAGCAATTAATTGTTGACCTTTTCCGTAAATTTATACATTTCTCCTTTCGATGCTACAAATCTTTCATAAATAGAAATGATGCTATTTTTCTGATTTAGATTGATGGAATTCACTGATCTTATAAAGTTGTCCCTGTCACATTGTTTGAAGCAAATAGATTGAACAGAATTAAAATTTGTTTCTTTATTTTTAGGGTTCATTTTGTTATGTTTCACAGTAAAGGTATTAACAAATGTAGCAGTAAAGGTATTAACAAATGTAGCAGTAAGGTTTGGTAGTGTGCTAAAGGTATTAACAAATGTAGCAGTAAGGTTTGTACTGGTATCTTGTACTTATGGTATCTTATGTTTCACAGTAAAGGTATTAACAAATGTAGCAGTAAGGTTTGGTAGTGTGCTGGTATCTTGTACTTATGGTATCTTATGTTTCACAGTAAAGGTATTAACAAATGTAGCAGTAAGGTTTGGTAGTGTGCTGGTATCTTGTACTTATGGTATCTTATGTTTCACAGTAAAGGTATTAACAAATGTAGCAGTAAGGTTTGGTAGTGTGCTGGTATCTTGTTCTAGTAACCAAACCTGCCCATAGTTTTAATCAAAATGTCTGTACAAAATGAATTGAAATGTATTATTAAGAGCAAATAGGAGAAGAGAATGAAAAAAATCCAACAAATAGGAAGCCAACTATAATACAATCATGGACACCATTTAATTCCTTTGGATTCTAATATTTTATGTTTATTTTGCTAGGTCCAGCTTTTTCAGAAAAGGATATTATATTGATCAGATGGAGAAAACACCCATTCTGGCCTGCCTATGTAAGTGTAGATTTATTATGCTCCCGGAAGGGAGAGCATACAGTTGCTGTTTTGTCTGCCCATCGGTCATAATTTTGTCCGGAGCATAACACAAAAGCTATAAGAGGTATCAACACAAAACTTCATAGGTAGATTGATCTCAACAAGGACATAGGTAGATTGATCTCAACAAGGACATAGGTAGATTGATCTCAACAAGGACATAGGTAGATTGATCTCAACAAGGACATAGGTAGATAGATCTCAACAAGGAGAAGTGTAGTGAACAAAACCATCAATCCTTTTTGTATAATTTATGAGTTATTGCTCTTTGTTATTTTTTCATAGTTAAATTTTGTCTGGAGCATTACTGTAAAGCTAGAAGAGGAACTATCTTATTGTCCTTTCTTATTTTTCATACTTAAATTTTGTCCCAGTTGGGAAGTATAACCCATCTCTGATGGCCCTTGTATATTAGTGTGTAGTGGTGGATACTATATTGATGAGAGAGATTAAACATTCATTCTGGCCTGCCTTTTTGTAAGTGTAGATTTATATATGAAGGCTGTGATAATTAATATTTTATTTTTGTTTTGCTAAATAAACTGCCAACTTTATGACGTTGCAGTGTGACGTGCTTAAAAATTTCTACAAACTGATCGGTTAATCACATTTATTGCATTAAAAATTCACAATAGTAAGTCATGTAAGGATATACAAATTGATGCTGTAATAAAAAAAATAATGTTTTAAGCTTGAGTATTTTTTTCCAGTTGTGTTAAATTATTAGATTAGCTTGATCAGCTTTGATTGGCCTGTTTTATGAATTTTATCTGTAAAGAGTAACCCAGAAACATAAAAAGATTATTCCATGGGTTGTCTTCTCATAAACACTCTTTTCTGTTGTTTTCCTGAAATATTTATATCTAATTTCAGTTCTGGTAGATGTTTATCTTAAGGAAGACACTGAATATCAAATGCTTGTAGGACCATTGAAGACACTTAAATTTAAATTTATTTCAACAGGTCAAGAAAATATATCAGAAAAGGCAGCAGTTCTCAAAAATTTCAGTGATATTTATCAAGCCAATGAAAAATACTCCATTGGAAAAGTAAGTATTGCAGTATGTAGAGGTGTTATATTCTGGTATATAGAAGTAGGTTGACTAAACATTATAATTGCTTGACATTTAGACGATAATATGATTATATTCTTCAAGCTTTTCGTACTATATATTAAGAAGTATATATACATTTTATACCTTAATTTACTGCAAACGATAACCTTATCTCCCCTTCTCTTATATAGTATATATGAATGAATATTTAATCGAAACACAAGGCATCTTTAAGTTATATCTACACAATTGAATATAGGTTTGATTACACATTTTATAAGTAATACATCTACAGTACAGTTGTGTCCTGTCCTGATCTTTATTCAGTCTTCTTAATCAAGCTTTTTACCAACTGAAGGACATTATAGGTGAAATACTCAATTTATTCACCCAACTCTTGTGCCATTCTCCAATGACTGTGACAAAACTTTACCCAAAGGTCAACAGTGAAATTACCTTAGTTTGTCTCAGGGTTCCAAGGTCAAAGTCATCATACTTATTGTTAAAGAAAGACATCAACCAATTTAGTAACATCATGACAATGACTTCTTTTTTTGAGGAATTTTGATAAATTAGAACATGACATGGATTCATGGTCATTGTTTCTATTTCATATTTGAGCAAGACCATTCGTGTGTTTAGGGACTGTTCATGTGTTTACTGACCATTCATGTGTTTAGGGACTGTTCATGTGTTTACTGACCATTCATGTGTTTAGGGACTGTTCATGTGTTTACTGACCATTCATGTGTTTAGGGACTGTTCATGTGTTTACTGACCATTCATGTGTTAAGGGACTGTTCATGTGTTTACTGACCATTCATGTGTTTAGGGACTGTTCATGTGTTTACCATTCATGTGTTTACTGACCATTCATGTGTTTAGGGACTGTTCATGTGTTTACTGACCATTCATGTGTTTAGGGACTGTTCATGTGTTTACTGACCATCCTTGTGTTTAGGGACTATTCATGTGTTAACTTTTAATGATGGTGATTTATTTTCAAGGATAACAATGAGATACAGAAGAAAAAGTGTCCTTCCCTTCAATGAAAAAGAAAAGAAAAAGGTAAAATTGTTTAGAAAGAAAAAAAAGGATTAAAAATCTAGAAAAGGTAAAAACATTGTAACTTTTTGTGGAAATGATTTTAAATGCTTATATCAGCCTAACATCTATATGTTCATCTGTCAGTTTTTATGTTCTGAAGATCAATTCAGAATTCAAAATATAAATTTCTGAAATACGGGTAGTATGTTTTACCTGTTGAGATGAATGTTTTACATATTTCAAAACTTTAATTTGCGTACACATTATTACAAACCTGTAAGTTTGTCGTTCCCGAAGAATTCAGGAAAACCTTGAAATGTGTATTTTCCCCCTGAGGGCTGTGGTACTCTATGTACAAAACCTGTTTGCATGAGTATGGTTCCACCTCCAACACTTTATTGGTTTTCAGTTTTTAAAGTATTTTATCTTTCATGTGTTATCAGAGATGAAACAATGTTATGATATTGTAATAACAATCATTTCATTTCTGTTCTCTTTCAATCAGATTCTAGACAACTTGCAGGAGGAAAACAGCTCTCAATTCTCCATGGCATGTGAACTAGCAGAAGATTACTTGGACAAGAAAGTATTAGGACGCTGGAAGAAGGGTATTCCTGGTCACCCAGATATGTGTGAATCAGGTAAGGGTATTCCTGGTCACCCAGGTATGTGTGAATCAGGTAAGGGTATTTCTGGTCACCCAGATATGTGTGAATCAGGTAAGGGTATTTCCTAGTCACCAAGATATGTGTGAATCAGGTAAGGGTATTTCTGGTCACCCAGATATGTGTGAATCAGGTAAGGGTATTTCTGGTCACCCAGATATGTGTGAATCAGGTAAGGGTATTTCTGGTCACCCAGATATGTGTGAATCAGGTAAGGGTCATGTGTTGCTCTGTGTAAACAAAACACTTTGAATTACTAGTGAATGTAAGTATTGAGTCTGATCTGTCTAACCTGAATATAAATGGCATAATCATGATATACGCTTAGTTTGATTCTTATATATTTAGAAAATAAATAAAACCTATCTCACACTTATCTATAATTCATATATAATGTGTGCACAAATGTGCAGTAGCTTATTTCATCCAGTTTTGCTATCGTGCACGCACATGCTGACATCAGGCAATTATCAAGTAATGCTATGCGATCCCACAACTGTCATTGTATCCATGTAGCCTGTTTGTATCACCATAACTAAACAAGATTAATATTACAGAATAGTTTTGTGCTCGTCAATCAGTCACACCATCAGTTTGTGCAGCACCTTGTCTTGTGCACATCTAATATATCACATTTACAGCAACAAAATTACAGTTGTGTGATTGCACAACATTACATGATGTGTGGTATGCACATATGTGTGCATGATAGAAGAAAGGGACAAAATTTGCTCTTACATATCCGTGCACACAATGTACGGTTCTAATATACAGATGTGTTATTCTGTCTAAAAGTGAGTATTATACTTCAGTGTAAACAGAGTTACTGCCCTTTTATTTTTTTACATCCTTATTTCTATGACTGCTGCCATGTACAATATAGATGTTTATGATGAATGGTAAATTGTGTTAAAAGTACATTTGATTCCTTTGTTTAGTTATTTTCCCCTTTTAACAAACTTATGCAGTATATGGTTATACTGGTGCACATTGACTTTTAATTATAATGGAGGAATAAAACAGATAATAACAAGTCAAATAAGATGAAAAAGAATCAAACCACAATGAAAAGGAGCAGAATTTTTAGTTTTTTAGGATTACACTATTATTTCTGACATCATTTATAGGACCTGTTAGGTGATGTAAACAATGTAACAGTGTGTATACAGTGGTAATGATGCAGTTATTTTCAGTGATCTATATGGGCAACAACTGTTACATCTATAATGAATTATAAAGTGTAATATGTGGTTGGTTGGTTAGAGTTTTGAGTATATGTGACTCTTCCTGTCACATAAAAAGGGTGGTGATGTAGATATCGGATGTCGTGGAAGGGACCGATAACAGTTTTATCAAACTTATTTCTTTTTTGTACGTATGCTCCAAATAGAGTTTATGGTTTACAGATTCTGAGGATGAAAAGGTTCCAGACATTGACTATGGTCCTCCAATATCTGACAGCGCTAGTGAGAATTTATCTGTAAGTGGAGACATGCAGCCTTTAGATGACCTCACTAACCCAAAAGACCAGGAACGGTAAGCTGCATCATAGGAATTTCTTTTCTATTTGATATTTTAAAGCATTTGAAGCAAATATTATTTATGGTACTTCTATTTGTCTCCTCTATATAATCCGCTCTAATTTGTGGACATACTTCTATTTGTCTCCTCTATATAGTCAGCTCTAATTTGTGGACATACTTCTATTTGTCTCCTCTATATAGTCCGCTCTAATTTGTGGACATACTTCTATTTGTCTCCTCTATATAGTCCGCTCTAATTTGTGGACATACTTCTATTTGTCTCCTCTATATAATCCGCTCTAATTTGTAGACATACTTCTATTTGTCTCCTCTATATAATTCGCTCTAATTTGTGGACATACTTCTATTTGTCTCCTCTATATAATCCACTCTAATTTGTGGACATACTTCTATTTGTCTCCTCTATATAGTGTGTTCTAATTTGTGGACATACTTCTATTTGTCTCCTCTATATAGTCAGTTCTAATTTGTGGACATACCTCTATTTGTCTCCTCTATATAGTCTGCTCTAATTTGTGGACATACTTCTATTTGTCTCCTCTATATAGTCCACTCTAATTTGTGGACATACTTCTGTTTGTCTCCTCTATATAGTGTGTTCTAATTTGTGGACATACATCTATTTGTCTCCTCTATATAGTCCACTCTAATTTGTGGACATACTTCTGTTTGTCTCCTCTATATAGTGTGTTCTAATTTGTGGACATACATCTATTTGTCTCCTCTATATAGTCAGTTCTAATTTGTGGACATACCTCTATTTGTCTCCTCTATATAGTCTGCTCTAATTTGTGGACATACTTCTGTTTGTCCCCTCTATATAGTGTGTTCTTATTTGTGGACATACTTCTGTTTGTCTCCTCTATATAGTCTGCTCTAATTTGTGGACATACTCCTATTTGTCTCCTCTATATAGTCCACTCTAATTTGTGGACATACTTCTATTTGTCTCCTCTATATAATCTGCTCTAATTTGTGGACATACTTCTATTTGTCTCCTCTATATAATCTGCTCTAATTTGTGGACATACTTCTATTTGTCTCCTCTATATAGTCCGCTCTAATTTGTGGACATACTCAAGTTTGTCGTACTCCAAACATTGACATATTCCTATTTGTTTCCTCTATATGAATTTAAAACAAAATAACACCATAACATTTTTGTGACAAGTGTTTATGTCAAAAGTCCTTAAATAATAATTCCTTAAATAATGTCATACTGAAATATGTCTTTGCTACGATCTTTTTCTAAAGTATGCAGCAATAATATCAGTGAGATTCGCATTTGGTTGAAAAGTTTATATATATGAAGTATATATTTTTTTGTATTTCTGATCAATCTGATATCCTATCAATCTTGTATACTTATCAGGTATGAGAAGATGAAAACAATGAATGAAAATCTAATAGCGTACATAAAATCAGAAGAAATGAAGGTTTGTATTTAATAGGAGCAAATCATAATGAGAACTATGTCTGATATTCATAACACAGTATGTCTGATATTCATAATGCAGTATGTCTGATATTCATAACGCAGTATGTCTGATATTCATAACACAGTATGTCTGATATTCATAACACAGTATATCTGATATTCATAACACAGTATGTCTGATATTCATAACACAGTATGTCTGATATTCATAACACAGTATGTCTGATATTCATAACGCAGTATGTCTGATATTCATAACACAGTATGTCTGATATTCATAAAACAGTATGTCTGATATTCATAATGCAGTATGTCTGATATTCATAACACAGTATGTCTGATATTCATAACACAGTATGTCTGATATTCATAACGCAGTATGTCTGATATTCATAACGCAGTATGTCTGATATTCATAGCGCAGTATGTCTGATATTCATAACACAGTATGTCTGATATTCATAACACAGTATGTCTGATATTCATAACACAGTATGTCTGATATTCATAATGCAGTATGTCTGATATTCATAACGCAGTATGTCTGATATTCATAATGCAGTATGTCTGATATTCATAACACAGTATGTCTGATATTCATAACGCAGTATGTCTGATATTCATAACGCAGTATGTCTGATATTCATAACGCAGTATGTCTGATATTCATAACGCAGTATGTCTGATATTCATAACACAGTATGTCTAATATTCATAACGCAGTATGTCTGATATTCATAACGCAGTATGTCTGATATTCATAACACAGTATGTCTAATATTCATAACGCAGTCAAAGATATGATTGGCATTCCTCCCTTACAGATATTTGATTAAAGATTAAGAAATCATTATCAGTTTTTTACAATAGAACTGATGATATGATAAAAGATAAAATAACAAGGAATATGAGGATATGTAATCATATACAATTTATAGGGAGTTCTTCTTTATTGTTGTACAACTTTTCATTGGCTGGCTGAATTATGTGTTTTATAGAAATACCTGGTACAGATTTATCTTGGAAAGAAAAAGAGTGAAAGACATACCATGTACTTCAGTGACAGAACCAAAGAGAAATCTGCTATACGGCATGCTGGTTTTGGACCGATTGCTGATGAAGAGCAGGTCTGTTTTGTTACATTGAAAGGAATTGGTGTTACCATATAAACTCGGGTATATTGTGCTTATTGTGTGCACTAGTGTTTATTTTGTGGTGTTTTTTTTTTGGTGTTGGAGGAGGGTGGGGGATGGAATCTCTGAAAAAAAGGGTTTTTTTTTTTTGGGTTGGTGGGGGGGGGGGGGGGTTGACTTTCTGGAAAGTAAATTTTGCCACCTTATATGGACACTTATCTGGGTCATACCACATGTCAGAAAAAAAATGCTGTTTTTACAGATCATGCTAAGAAAAAATATTTACAAGGTAGACATTTTATTAACTTTTCACACCATGACTACGATCTACCATGACTGTTAAAGCTGACAATGAAGGAATCCTTAGGGATCATCAGATTAAGGCTATCTCAAATAGTTTTAGTGCTAGAACAGAGGAATGGCTATGTATTTAACGACTAAAGCAGTGCTACAATTTTCCAGTGGATGTCTCTAGTGTTCGTGGTACTCGCAATGAATAATTTACAGTGTTCTGTAAATGTAATGAAACTCAAAACACTTTATACATGGAAAGGTGTTTAAATTCTTTGTGTTTTTAGGTCACCCTGATATGGTAGAAACAATTGCCCTTTGTGGTTGGAAGAGTTTTAAGGTGTTTTGCAAAAATTGTGAATTTTATGACCCCAGGATCTCAAAGTTCCCTTTAGGGAGAGGAGGATCTTTGCTTTAGTTTTCATAGGAAAATTGCATTTTTGAGCATGATGTTTATTTTCCATTGGAAATATAGTCAAAACTCATTCAAGGGACGGTGGAAATCATTTCGACTTTTCTGAATTTCAGCTCAAACAAAGAGTGTGTATGGTTGACAATATCAGTGTCCTGACATTTTTACTGTTGAACGAAGTAGGGCTTCTACTTAATTTTTAATTAATGTTTAATTTCTACTTTCTCCTTTTATTGTTTATTCATCCAAACAACAAAACATATAATAACAACTCCTATCAAATGAATTTGTACACACGTCATTTCGTCCCACACTTTTGTACACTACTCCTACTGACCAATCACATGTATTTTATGGAATAACGAAAATAAAATTTGCTTTTGATTTGCTTCAAGAAATGATGTATGACGCTATAGATGATATTGATATCACTTTATTATGAATAAACATATGAAGAATACGGAACTAGAAAGTTTTTATTGTGTTGCCTGCAGAGCTGGCGGACACTAAGGGATCACTTTGTCCGTCGTCACACGTCGGCTTCATCCGTAAGAAAGTTTTCCTGACTTTTTTCAGTTATGCTTTGAGTTATCAAAATGAAATTTAGTATATGGCTTCTTGTTGGAAGGGTACAGATTAAGTTCGATTTCCGGCTGTCTGTGACCCTTCTTGGTTGAGAAATGCCCCTTTGAACTTAGAAAATTCTCTGGGAATATTGTTTTCCGCACTTTTTTGGATTATCCTTTGAGATATTGAAATGAAATTTGGTATTACAACTTTATGGTTGAACGTTGCATGTTATATGGTTTTTTGTACTTTTCTTGATTATGCTTAGAGTTTTTTAAATGAAATATGAGAAATGGCTTCATGGTCGACCATTACAGATAAGGTTCGATTCACGGCTTTCTTGGCTGCGATATGTCCCTTTGAACTTGGAAAATTTCTCAGGAATATTGCTTTGCACAGTTTTCCCTTTATGCTTCATGTTATAGAAATGAAATTTGGTATTACAACTTTATGGTTGAACGTTGCACATCCAGTTCAATTTCTGGGTGACCGTGACACTTTATGCAGGCGACACATACAGTTCCGAGGAACTCTTGTTTGTTATAGAAAACATCATGCAAGCACTAGACTTAACAAATCATGCACAGATATAGACCATCAATGAAAAATACTTTCAGCACTTCTTTTCCAACCACTAAACAAGCCCAAAAATGAGTTTCTCTCGGAATTGTGGGGATCAGATTTTGTCAAAAAGTTTGTAATGGTTTGATGGGTTTGTTTTCCTGAAGATGCACACAACCAAACTGAACGCTTTTATGTATTGTGTTAATACGATACTTAGTTTAACGTACAGGTAAGTCACTGCTACAGGATGGTGACACTAATTAAGAAGCCAACTTTTATTTGGATAATTAAACTGGTAATTAATCGTCAGAGACCAAGTGTTGTGTGTACAATGGTTTACAGTTGAAGGAACTTAAAATCACATCGACTCAAACGTAATTTCAACTCAATGAAATTCTAGTCATCAGAACTAAAATGACAAAGATATAGAAGGAAAAAAATCAGGACTTGGAAATTATTTTGACTAAAGCGATTTTGAGACGAGTGTCAACAGTAACTTATCAAGAACTTTAAGTATATGGTAAGACAGTTTTAATGACATGCATATATTGACACTGGCTGACCCCCAAGGGTATAAAACATTACTTAAGTTTTACTGTCATCAATGTCACAATTTCTTTTTTGTGACACATGAAATCTATTTACCCTATAACCTTTATATTCAATACAGCTTTCCTCAGATGGTTGTTGAGGCTGCTAGGTCTCATGTTGAAAAAACAATCTTTAGAAAGTGTACATTATATACACATATCTACAGTACTTTGATATCTAGGACGTTTTGAAAAGTAAAAAATTTGAAAGAATTCCAATAGGGAATGCTCAATACTACAGAGAAAAATGTTCTTTATACAAGCAAGTTTTTAACTTTTGATGTGAATTCTTAAATTATTTCCTGATAAAAATTGCTGGAATTTTAAAGCAATAGATACAGTAGGTATTAATTACATGTAAATCTGTTTCCAAGGCTACTGATTTGTATATAGAATACTGTTTAACAATAGTTATACAATATGTGACTCTCAATATTTTATGAAACTCACAAGGCTTTATGGAAAACAGGAAATCTCTAGATGGTATCCACACAGTAAAGTATGTTTTCTGCTGAGGTGTTGTGAGCTCATGTATTTATACAACTTTATAAACAATTAAGATAAGTGAATGTTTTTTTCAGCAAGATGACATTATCAACACATTGATGAAGTGGCATCAGGAAGTGAACGGCCAGTCGCCTGATCAGCTACCGAGCTACGACTATGTCGTTGATGTTTGGATACCTGAGGTATCACTTTCAGTAATTACAATTTCAATAGATCAGCTTGAGATTCATTACTTAAGTGTTTATAGATACTGTGGCACTAATCAAATCAGCCAAGCAGTTAGTTATTAAATATATGTCAACCTGTTTTGCCTAATGTGTTCAACGTCTTTATGACAACATCTAACTTTACCCTTAACATACAGAACTGATGGCACATTTACATTGTCTCATTTTGACTTTACATTATAGACTTCAGTTAAAGAATTATTAGTCCTCCATTAGGGACATTGATTTTAGAAGTGGTTAATATTGTCCAATGCATTTAATAATATGTACATGTCTTTTTGTTTTGTACACAAACTGTACTTTAAAAAAAAAGCTCAAAGATTCCAAAAGTACATGAGGCAATTCCTGCTCATGCACCAAGCTATTAAGGCAGCCAGATACATGGTTGAGTCTTACCAGATGATTTCCTTGTAAAGCTACATAAGTCTAATCCATGATCTTCTTGTATCAATGTTTAAGTCTTTTCAATGACCTCCATGCATCAATGTTTAAGTCTTTTCAATGACCTCCATGCATCAATGTTTAAGTCTTTTCAATGACCTCCATGCATCAATGTTTAAGTCTTTTCAATGACCTCCATGCATCAATGTTTAAGTCTTTTCAATGACCTCCATGCATCAATGTTTAAGTCTTTTCATTGACCTCCATGCATCAATGTTTAAGTCTTTTCAATGACCTCCATGCATCAATGTTTAAGTCTTTTCAATGACCTCCATGCATCAATGTTTAAGTCTTTTCAATGACCTCCATGTATCAATGTTTAAGTCTCATCATTCACCTCCATGCATCAATGTTTAAGTCTTTTCAATGACCTCCATGCATCAATGTTTAAGTCTTTTCAATGACCTCCATGTATCAATGTTTAAGTCTCATCATTCACCTCCATGTATCAATGTTTAAGTCTCATCATTCACCTCCATGTATCAATGTTTAAGTCTTTTCATTCACCTCCATGCATCAATGTTTAAGTCTTTTCAATGACCTCCATGCATCAATGTTTAAGTCTTTTCAATGACCTCCATGCATCAATGTTTAAGTCTTTTCAATGACCTCCATTTCAACGACCTCCATGTATCAATGTTTAAGTCTTTTCATTCACCTCCATGTATCAATGTTTAAGTCTTTTCAACGACCTCCATGTATCAATGTTTACATCTCATCATTCACCTCCATGTATCAATGTTTAAGTCTCATCATTCACCTCCATGTATCAATATTTAAGTCTTTTCAACGACCTCCATGTATCAATGTTTAAGTCTTTTCAACGACCTCCATGTATCAATGTTTAAGTCTCATCATTCACCTCCATGTATCAATGTTTAAGTCTTATCAATGACCTCCATGTATCAATGTTTAAGTCTTATCAACGACCTCCATGTATCAATGTTTAAGTCTCATCATTCACCTCCATGTATCAATGTTTAAGTCTTATCATTCACCTCCATGTATCAATGTTTAAGTCTTTTCAACGACCTCCATGTATCAATGTTTAAGTCTCATCATTCACCTCCATGTATCAATGTTTAAGTCTTTTCAACGACCTCCATGTATCAATGTTTAAGTCTTTTCAACGACCTCCATGTATCAATGTTTAAGTCTTATCATTCACCTCCATGTATCAATGTTTAAGTCTTATCAATGACCTCCATGTATCAATGTTTAAGTCTTATCATTCACCTCCATGTATCAATGTTTAAATCTCATCAATGACCTCCATGTATCAATATTTAAGTCTTTTCAACGACCTCCATGTATCAATGTTTAAGTCTTTTCAACGACCTCCATGTATCAATGTTTAAGTCTCATCATTCACCTCCATGTATCAATGTTTAAGTCTTATCATTCACCTCCATGTATCAATGTTTAAGTCTTATCAATGACCTCCATGTATCAATGTTTAAGTCTTATCATTCACCTCCATGTATCAATGTTTAAATCTCATCAATGACCTCCATGTATCAATGTTTAAGTCTTTTCATTCACCTCCATGTATCAATGTTTAAGTCTTTTCAACGACCTCCATGTATCAATGTTTACATCTCATCATTCACCTCCATGTATCAATGTTTAAGTCTCATCATTCACCTCCATGTATCAATGTTTAAGTCTTTTCAATGACCTCCATGCATCAATGTTTAAGTCTTTTCAACGACCTCCATGTATCAATGTTTAAGTCTTTTCATTCACCTCCATGTATCAATGTTTAAGTCTTTTCAACGACCTCCATGTATCAATGTTTAAGTCTTATCATTCACCTCCATGTATCAATGTTTAAGTCTCATCATTCACCTCCATGTATCAATGTTTAAGTCTTTTCAATGACTTCCATGTATCAATGTTTACATCTCATCAATGACCTCCATGTATCAGTGTTTAAGTCTTTTTAATGACCTCCATGTTTTGATGTTGATGTCTCATTGATGATCTCCTGGAATAGATATACATGTTTGGCTGTAAAAACACTCAGATTCTACTATCCTTTTCTCTGTTGTCCCTAGTTATCAAAATAAATGAGGAGACTCTCACCCTTTGTCAGTTTTTCATAATATCTTTATTAACACTTTCATTATAAAAACTTTCTTTCATTAGCTAGCATACGACTCAAAAAATATATCAGATGTATAATGTCATTGTGTAAAATTTATTTAAATGGAATTTTTGAAAAATTGGATAAACTTCATTGTTTTCTATTTTTTATCAGGCTATTATTCAAGGACTTGTCAAAAGTAAGGGATATAGACGTGGTAAAGCAATGGAGAAATTTGCAAAAGGAGTTAAACTTTCCAAAGTAGAAAGGGACAGACTTCATCGCTCACTAATTGATAATGCCAAAAATATCTCTAAAGAAGACTGGACAAATCACGAAGAGAAAAGAAACATTCAACTGAAGAAACTTGGAATCAATATTCCATATAGGAGACCAGCCAAACTTGTGAAGCTTTAGCAAATAAACAAGGTGATGATGTCACTGTGTTCTTTACTGCAAAATATTCTGTTGAAAAATGGTATGAGAGTGAGAGGATTTGTGTGGAAATGATACATATTTAAGATTCACAATAGGAAGTAATGCTACACTACAGTTACTGTGAAATTGAAAACAATATACAGAAAAGCAATGACAACAATTTTATATTTATTTCATTTTCAAATTTTAAGAACTGTTATTAAAATCTAATTACTTAGTAATGTATATGTTGTTAGATGACATGACTGAAATTGGTTTAAATATCCTTAATCTTCATGTGATATCACTGCATACATGTATGTAGACTTCAGCGACAACACAAATACTTTCATTTAATCTTTTCACTGCCTTATATAGATTAGACACCTTATATCCCGATCTTTCAAAATACCAAAGAATGAAGTCAGCTTTACCGATATTAAATTGTTACATTGATGAATAACTGTACTAACGTTTTGAAGACATTTTAATGAGAAATGAAGAAATCAGTACTAATATCTGACACAGTTTATGGTGGTGATTTGACTTACCAGGTATTCATCATATTCTCACTTTAAAATCTAAAAAATCAATAAATAAATAAATGTCTTCTGCTAATTGGCAATTATTTTGAACTTACCAATAAAATAAATTTATTCCACCAGAACAAATACAGTTCAACTTTCATTGATGTGAATAGGCAGATAGATATGTCTGTCTGCCTTAGATTTGCAGGCAGCTTTCTGATAATTCACACTTCTGCTATCAATTTCTAGTAAAAGGGCATAGCTACAGAATCTTTATAGGACAAAAGGAATATTACTAAACTTGTGGTAGCTTTCAGACTAACATTTACAACTGAATTTTATGAAACTTGAAAGAAATTTGTAATATCTGACCAGATCATTGTTTGTGTTACATTGTCATGATCACAGTCACAGAAACCAAATAATTTACAGAACATTAATTTTCTTTCTTTCTTAACCATATAGAAAATTTGAAACTGAATGTTATCCTAATTCCACTGTATTGTGAAAGGTAAAAATGCTAAGGTGTCATGGTTACAGTCAGTTCTATAAAATCTTACAACGGATTAAAAATAACAGAATTAGCTTTTATACCATTTTACTTAAATTTTGTGAAATTTAATGCATTATCTTATAATCATACACTTGAGATAAATTGAAGGTCAATATCTTTATTGCACAGATTCAACAACAACTTAGATATTGACTGCTACCATGTGTACAAGAGATCTCGTAGATATCAACGCCTCACTGTAAATCAGTTTGGTACATACATGTTATTTTTCGTCTACTGTTGGTGGTACAGGATTCTTTTGTTTTAGGATATAGATCTTAAAATGTGTCCAAACGTTACAGCTGTAAAAATTATCAGTGGACAGTGTTTAATTTTATTCATGTATTTATGTATTGTGATTTATGAAGTCACAATATACACTTACCTGTCACAAGAGTAGATTTTTAATTACACCAAAAATACCTGTATAGTCATATAGACTTTATAGACATAAATAAAAGATTGTAAATATGCCATGATTATTCATCACGACATATTTCGATGTACAATCACATTACTTATGTTAATGAAGTTAGATTCAAATTTCTAACACACTTTTTGTCTCTGTATATATTCACTGACGGAGCATTTAATACACGAATTCTGTAGATAAGGGTGGAGGGATTTTTATTTATTTTTCATCCCAAGACAAAGGGAATGCAGATTTGTATCTATAAATGAAAGTCTCTTCCTTATACTAACATGTGAGGTAGGGTTAATATTAGACAAAATAGTCTTATAATCAAATGTAAACATTTAAACTAATGTAACAACTTCTTATCAGTGAATGATCACCACATAACTTTTTGCTGTTTGGGTGGTAGGGTAACCCTATTACTTCACCTAGACGACTTGGGTTCCACCTCAGGATTGACATGAAAGTTATGGGTAACATATGTGTTTGTTGTAATTCTTTGGATTATTAAGAAATCTGAAATTGCAAAAAAGGTCCAAAATTGATATTTCATTTAATTTACATGCAAGGAAACGAAGACTCTTTCCATAAGATAAGCTGACAGGTTTGCATGCTTGACAAACCATGATATACTTTTTGTGTGGAATGTAAGCAATGCTGTTGAAAGGATTATTGATGGTAATGCATTCAAGTTTAGTTTAGGTTTGGTTTACATAGTGAGCCATTGTGATAAAAATGGATTTTTATAAGGAGATACCTTCAGAGATTGATGTATTTTTAAATGTACACAGTACAGTGTCATAAGATGTTTAATATTTTACAATGATAATATTTTGTAACTATCATCCAATCATTTAATAGGTATGATGAATAAGGATATTTTTAATAGGATATCTTCATAGAATTTCTGGAGAGAAAATATGTATGGTTATTTTTATGAATCATACATTTCACTCTAATTCTTATTTATAACGATTGATAAGTATTCTCAAAGAAATCCAAAGTTTAGCTATTTGTTTTCACTGCTGAGTAATTTTGGACATTTTGCTGTACATACAATAATTCAAGTTGGTTGTGTTTTTTATCATATTTATTAATTTGATATATATATCCAGCTTTGTCAGAGAAGAAAAATACTCTTATATTCGCTTCTCTTGCAATATAATTCAATGACTGTTAACGGAAATATGTTATTTGCATTTATTTTGTTCATAAGAACATGTACAGACAATTTTGTATATAGAATTAAGAATTTTGTGGCATCAATGTCATCACGCTGAAGAGAAATGATGAATACAGATAATGATAGCATTGATGTGAATAAATAGCCATTGCAGTTGATGTGTTTTTCTTATTTCTCTATTCATATGAGTTGTCAGTGAGATATTGATTACCTTTGTGACACAGGCATCTTCTGTACCAAGATTTACTGAAAAATCTATTAAATGATCTGTGTTTACTTTTGGATTGTCTTTTATTATATCGAAGCGTTTATGTGTAAATTTACCGCGTGATCTACTGGATTTATTACCTCATAAACAAAGAAAAATAAAAGATAATCCTTTTATTTACAATTTTTACTTTCAAAAAAATCCAGTAAAACACTTTCAGTTTCGCCATTTCCAAGTAATTAAATACGAAAGTGATAGTGACGTTCCATTCCGTTGAATTCCGGGAATAGCTTCCAAGACAGCTAGACTCCGCCCACTTTCTTCTTCTTGGAAATGAAAGAAATAGTTCGTCGATTTCAACTATTTTATTAATGTTTTCTGAAGGAAACAACACAACACAACATTCATCGAGACGCGGAAGTCAGTCGTGATGCAACTTGGCCGACGAGGCAGGAAGTGAAACCGAACACGTTACATGTTAAACGTGCAATTTTCAAACCTGGAGTTTGTGAGTATTCCCGACGTTGATTTCACATTTGAAGAGAGAAATGATGGTACATTATTAGGGAGGGATACAGTGGAGTTTTTTGTGGCAACAGACATTGTGTTTGTTTCATTTTCCGAAATTGAAGTATCGTAGCATCGTAGCCAGAACTCATGGATGTGAGTGTAGCGCTAATATTGTTACGTCATCGTCTAGCCCACGTTGTGGACTAAATTTATTGGAGTGTAAACACAGTAGATATTCTTATGTTTTATTAGGGGAAAACACAATAATTGTAAATAAAGTGCATTAGTCCACAGACATTCAGTTCCGGTCGCAGAATACGTTAGAAGCGAAGTTTATTTACTGTAGGCTAATATATTGTTATCATTCACAATGACTATGATATATAGAGCAAGTATGTGCTGTGAACAGCAGGTGTAGTGTATGATTAGACTATAACCAAGTGGAGACAAATCTGTATCTACAGGTTTACTAATGTACACTACAGTGATTGGAGTAAAGTACTGTCTCTCATCACATTCCGATCAGTTGATAATGAGCCAATTTACCAAGGCATGTCAACTTGTCACCTTCAGCATATTAATGTGTAGAAATACTTCTAAACACCAAACCCTATCAGCCTAGAAGTGTTGGCAATAAATAGCTTCACAAGTAGTGTTTTATTGTGAAGTTTTGCCATACTGCTGCACTCATTTGTCGACTACTGCCGGTTAATGTTGTAAGCTGTCTTTCCCATCTGACTTGATTTTGTTTTCATTTCGAGGCCGAATTTATTAAACAGAGATCTGGCAGATTCGTTTCAGATCTCACTTTCAGATATATTGATGACGTCTTGTCTTTAAATAACAAGAGATCTATTGATCACCGCTTTGTATATTATCCCCAGAATTGGAAATCAAGGACACAGCAGACTGTTCTACACCAGATGATTATCTCGATCTTTTCTAACAATGAAAGCAACATAGACAGCTTTCCACAAAGCTGTATGATAAGTGTGATGATTTCAATTTCCCTATTTTATTTTTTTCCTATTTCTGAACAGTAACATCCTGCATCCTCAACCTATGGTGTTTACATGTTACAGTTGATTCAAAAGTCATCAGACTTATTCCATTATCACGATTTTATGCAGGAAGTCGTCAAATGATGGAGATTCAGGTTGATAAAAAAAACTTCGGGTCGCCATAGTGATCAAATTTAGAAATATTCAATTTCTTTGTGCGATATGAAACTGGACGTGTTTGTTGCTAGTTAGTTTGCTAGTTACTTTTGTTGTTTTATGCCTTATTCTCATTTGCGAACCTGACATCACTTATTTGGATTGACCAAAGTTAACATGGCGGGTGTTGTTGATGAAGCAGAAGATGCTTACTCTTATATAGTCTTCTTCTCAGTGTACTTTTTTTTTTTTTTGGGGGGGGGGGGGGGGGGGGGCTCCTATAACAAAACCTCCTCGAGCAGTGACCCCATTTTTGTGGACTCTTCCTGGTGGCGATAAGGGGACCTAAGGAGCTTGAGTGTAACATCTTTGGAACCTTTATAGTATCTGCAACCAATATCGCAACACTTTCATATTTTAGTAAATTTACGTGTAATATACATGTCAAAATTTCCCTCTTTTAATTCGGAAGTAAGAACCCGATTTTGACAATTTTAGAATAGACTGCCAATCCGGCAGGATTGGTCAAAGGTCAACTAAAGCAACTTTTAAAAATGTGTTCGGATAGATGCCACACCATGAAGGAAATAGAACAACGTTAAACAGCTTGTTCGGATAGATGCCACACCGTGAAGGAACCAGAACAACGTTTAACAATGTGTTCGGATAGATGCCACACCGTGACGGAACCAGAACAACGTTTAACAAATTGTTCGGATAGATGCCACACCGTGAAGGAACTAGAACAACGTTTAACAATGTGTTCGGATAGATTCCACACAACGAGGGAACCAGAACAACGTTAAATAATGTGTTCGGATAGATGCCACACGGTGAAGAAACTAGAACAACATTTAACAACGTGTTCAGATAGATGCCACACCGTGAAGGAACCAGAGCAACGTTTGACAGTGTGTTCGGATAGATGCCACACTGTGAAGGAACAAGAATAACGTTTAACAATTGTTTTTCGGATAGATGCCACACCATGAGAGAATCAGAACAACGTTTAACAATGTGTTCGGATAGATGCCACACCGTGAAGGAACTAGAACAACGTTTAACAATTGTTTTTCGGATAGATGCCACACCATGAGAGAATCAGAACAACGTTTAACAATGTGTTCGGATAGATGCCACACCGTCAAGGAACTAGAGCAACGTTTAATAATGTGTTCGGATAGATGCCACACCGTGAAGGAATCAGAACAACGTTTAACAATGTGTTCGGATAGATACCACACCATTACGGAACCAGAACAATGTGTTCGGATAGATGCCACACCGTGAAGGAACTAGAACAACGTTTATCAGCGTGTTCGAATAGATGCCACACCGTGAAGGAACTAGAGCAACGTGTTCGGATAGATGCCACACCGTGAAGGAACCAGAGAAACGTTTAAAAGTGTGTTCGAATAGATGCCACACCGTGACGGAAACAGAGCAACGTTTAACAATTGTTTTTCGGATAGATGCCACACCATGAGGGAATCAGAACAACGTTTAACAGTGTGTTCGGATAGATGCCACGCCGTGACGGAACCAGTGCAACGTTTGATAATTGTTTTTTCGGATAGATGTCACACCGTGAAGGAACCAAAACAACGTTTAACAATGTGTTCGGATAGATGCCACACCGTTAAGTAACTAGAGCAACGTTTAATAATGTGTTCGGATAGATGCCACACCGTGCCGGAACCAGAACAACGTTTAACAATTGTTTTTCGGATAGATGCCACACATTGAGGGAATCAGAACAACGTTTAACAATGTGTTCGGATAGATGCCACACCGTGCCGGAACCAGAACAACGTTTAACAATTGTTTTTCGGATAGATGCCACACATTGAGGGAATCAGAACAACGTTTAACAATGTGTTCGGATAGATGCCACACCGTGAAGGAACCAGAACAACGTTTAACAATTGTTTTTCGGATAGATGCCACACCATGAGGGAATCAGAGCAACGTTTAATAATGTGTTCGGATAGATGCCACACCGTGAAGGAATCAGAACAACGTTTAACAATGTGTTCGGATAGATACCACACCGTGAAGGAACTCGAACAACGTTTAACAGTGTGTTCGGATAGATCCCACACAACGAGGGAACCAGAACAACGTTAAATAATGTGTTCGGATAGATGCCTCACCATGACGGAACCAGAACAACGTGTTCGGATAGATGCCACACCATGAGGGAATCAGAACAACGTGTTCGGATAGATGCCACACCTTGAAGGAACAAGAACAACGTTTAACAGTGTGTTCGGATAGATGCCACACCGTGACGGAACTAGAACAACGTTTATCAGCGTGTTCGAATAGATGCCACACCGTGAAGGAACTAGAGCAACGTGTTCGGATAGATGCCACACCTTGAAGGAACTAGAGCAACGTGTTCGGATAGATGCCACACCGTGACGGAACCAGAGCAACGTTTAACAATGTGTTCGGATAGATGCCACACCGGAAAGGAACTAGAACAACGTTTAACAATGTGTTCGGATAGATGCCACACCGTGCCGGAACCAGAACAATGTTTAACAATTGTTTTTCGGATAGATGCCACACATTGAGGGAATCAGAACAACGTTTAACAATGTGTTCGGATAGATGTCACACATTGAGGGAATCAGAACAACATTTAAAAGTGTGTTCGAATAGATGCCACACCGTGAAGGAACTAGAACAACGTTTATCATCGTGTTCGGATAGATGCCACACCGTGAAGGAACTGGAACAACGTTTAACAGTGTGTTCGAATAGATGCCACACCGTGAAGGAACTAGAACAACGTTTATCATCGTGTTCGGATAGATGCCACACCGTGAAGGAACTGGAACAACGTTTAACAGTGTGTTCGAATAGATGCCACACCGTGAAGGAACTAGAACAACGTTTAACAATGTGTTCGGATAGATGCCACACCGTGAAGGAACTAGAACAACGTTTAACAGTGTGTTCGAATAGATGCCACACCGTGAAGGAACTAGAACAACGTTTATCATCGTGTTCGGATAGATGCCACACCGTGAAGGAACTAGAACAACGTTTAACAGTGTGTTCGAATAGATGCCACACCGTGAAGGAACTAGAACAACGTTTAACAATGTGTTCGGATAGATGCCACACCGTGAAGGAACTAGAACAACGTTTATCATCGTGTTCGGATAGATGCCACACCGTGAAGGAACTAGAACAACGTTTATCATCGTGTTCGGATAGATGCCACACCGTGAAGGAACTAGAACAACGTTTATCATCGTGTTCGGATAGATGCCACACGTGAAGGAACTAGAACAACGTTTATCATCGTGTTCGGATAGATGCCACACCGTGACGGAACCAGAGCAACGTTTAACAATGTGTTCGGATAGATGCCACACCGGAAAGGAACTAGAACAACGTTTAACAGTGTGTTCGAATAGATGCCACACCAATGTGTTCGGATAGATGCCACACCGTGAAGGAACTAGAACAACGTTTAACAGTGTGTTCGAATAGATGCCACACCGTGAAGGAACTAGAACAACGTTTAACAGTGTGTTCGAATAGATGCCACACCGTGAAGGAACTAGAACAACGTTTAACAATGTGTTCGGATAGATGCCACACCGTGAAGGAACTAGAACAATATTAAATAGCGTGTTCGGACAGATGACTGCACGTTCCACCGGGGAATTATTTACTGGTGATGTTAATTAAAGGCTGAAGTTTTATCGAATATACGACCAGGGAAGATGACCAGTGCATACGTATGATAAATATACCATAAGGCAAAGTGTTATCTGGAAGGAAAAATGATATCAATGAGATATTTGTTAATCACTGAATCAATGATAGTATATCAATGTTTACCTGGCAGGCTATAGACATGGTTTATTGGTGGGTGGGAAGATTATTAACGGATCCTTTATATTCACAATGGAGAAAACACACAGGAAATAGCATGTACGGTCTGATATAAGAGATTTCATTCTTAAAATTAAGGTGACAAAAGTACAGATTAAATTGTTACATGAGATGACCGCATGCTATTGATCAACCATTCATTTAAGGATTGAATCTTGCTTATGTCGATTTCATGGGATGATGAATTGAGTTGGTCTTGAGACAAATTTAATGAACTACGAATTTTGTCGAGTAGAAGTTGGGGAGTTTTCTTACATATGTATTGAGTGAGAAGTTAGACAGTCTTTTACTCTGAGCTATGTAATGGTGACCAAAGGAAGGGTTTTATTGGGAAGTATATTTATTACTATTATCATACCGTTTCCAGCACGTATTCTTTTTACGGTGACGGAACACTTCTGTGATTCACGTGGACTAAATCGAACAGGCTTAGGTGATCATGACAGAGGAATGGCGAGAAAGTTTGGACAATATGAACAAAAATTGTATCAGCAGACTTCAAGAGTATGCAGTGAAGAGAAAGTATGAGGTCCGATATGAAGAAACGATTACAGGCGATGGAGGGTAAGTGTAGCAACGGAGGGTAAGTGTAACAACGGAGGGTAAGTGTAACAACGGAGAGTAAGTGTAACAACGGAGGGTAAGTGTAACAACGGAGGGTAAGCGTTACAACGGAGGATAAGTGTAACAACGGAGTGTTAGTGTAACAACGGAGGTTAGGTGTAGCAACGGAGAGTAAGTGTAACAACGGAGGGTAAGTGTAACAACGGAGAGTGAGTGTAACAAGGGAGGTTAGGTGTAGCAACGGAGGGTGAGTGTAACAACGGAGGGTAAGTGTAACAACGGAGGGAAAGTGTAACAACGGAGGGTAAGTGTAACAACGGAGAGTAAGTGTAACAACGGAGGGTGAGTGTAACAACAGAGGGAAAGTGTAACAACGGAGGGTAAGTGTAACAACGAAGGGTAATTGTAACAACGGAGGGTAAGTGTAACAACGGAGGGAAAGTGTAACAACGGAGGGTAAGTGTAACAACGGAGGGTAAGTGTAACAACGGAGGGAAAGTGTAACAACAGAGGGTAAGTGTAACAACGGAGGGTAAGTGTAACAACGGAGAGAAAGTGTAAGGGAGGTTAGGTGTAACAACGGAGGGTGAGTGTAACAACAGAGGGAAAGTGTAACAACGGAGGGTGAGTGTAACAACGGAGGGTAAGTGTAACAACGGAGGGAAAATGTAACAACGGAGGGAAAGTGTAACAACAGAGGGTAAGTGTAACAACGGAGGGTAAGTGTAACAACGGAGAGTGAGTGTAACAAGGGAGGTTAGGTGTAGCAACGGAGTAACAACGGAGGGTGAGTGTAACAAGGGAGGGAAAGTGTAACAACGGAGGGTGAGTGTAACAACGGAGGGTAATTGTAACAACGGAGGGAAAGTGTAACAACGGAGGGTAAGTCTAACAACGGAGGGTAAGTGTAACAACGGAGGGAAAGTGTAACAACGGAGGGTAAGTGTAACAACGGAGAGTGAGTGTAACAAGGGAGGTTAGGTGTAGCAACGGAGGGTGAGTGTAACAACGGAGGGTGAGTGTAACAACGGAGGGTAAGTGTAACAACGGAGGGAAAGTGTAACAACGGAGGGTAAGTGTAACAACGGAGAGTAAGTGTAACAACGGAGGGTAAGTGTAACAACGGAGGGAAAGTGTAACAACGGAGGGTAAGTGTAACAACGGAGGGTAAGTGTAACAACGGAGGGAAAGTGTAACAACGGAGGGTAAGTGTAACAACGGAGGGAAAGTGTAACAACGGAGGGTAAGTGTAACAACGGAGGGAAAGTGTAACAACAGAGGGTAAGTGTAACAACGGAGGGTAAGTGTAACAACGGAGAGTGAGTGTAACAAGGGAGGTTAGGTGTAGCAACGGAGGGTGAGTGTAACAACAGAGGGTAAGTGTAACAACGGAGGGTGAGTGTAACAACGGAGGGTAATTGTAACAACGGAGGGTAAGTGTAACAACGGAGGGAAAGTGTAACAACGGAGGGTAAGTCTAACAACGGAGGGTAAGTGTAACTACGGAGGGAAAGTGTAACAACGGAGGGTAAGTGTAACAACGGAGAGTGAGTGTAACAAGGGAGGTTAGGTGTAGCAACGGAGGGTGAGTGTAACAACGGAGGGTAAGTGTAACAACGGAGGGAAAGTGTAACAACGGAGGGTAAGTGTAACAACGGAGAGTAAGTGTAACAACGGAGGGAAAGTGTAACAACGGAGGGTAAGTCTAACAACGGAGGGTAAGTGTAACAACGGAGGGAAAGTGTAACAACGGAGGGAAAGTGTAACAACAGAGGGTAAGTGTAACAACGGAGGGAAAGTGTAACAACAGAGGGAAAGTGTAACAACGGAGGGTAAGTGTAACAACGGAGAGTGAGTGTAACAAGGGAGGTTAGGTGTAGCAACGGAGGGTAAGTGTAACAACAGAGGGAAAGTGTAACAACGGAGGGTGAGTGTAACAACGGAGGGTAATTGTAACAACGGAGGGAAAGTGTAACAACGGAGGGTAAGTGTAACAACGGAGGGTAAGTGTAACAACGGAGGGTAAGTGTAACAACGGAGGGTAAGTGTAACAACGGAGTGTAAGTGTAACAACGGAGGGTAATTGTATTTTTAATCAAACCCAGTTCCACAAGCTTCGTCTTAGACAATCGGATTAGATCTTTCATTGTGCGATTTATCATTGTTATTCTGTTAAAACATATATGACGGCTTTCTCTCAGTGAGGTCAACCAAATCAACGCAATTCATTACAAGTAACACAGCTAAACATCATTAGTGTTGTGATAGTTAGTTATGTTATCAAGGAAGAAGAACATTGACAAGGTGAAGCGCACTGAGTGTACCTCTTTACTGTGAAATCCGACGGGGAATCAGGACATTTCCTCTCCAGTCTATATTTTTCAGCTTATAAACTTGACTGATACAAATAATGTTTTATGTGATGTTTTATCATAAGTTAGCATGTGAAAAAAATGTGAAAAAATGGATGTATCTCTACATTTAAATGTAACCAGAACTGGAAATGTCATGTTCATGTATACATGTACGATTTTCAAGGTTGAATTGTATCTGCTTTTTAATATAAGCACTGTCTACTACAATATTTGTTTTACATTGTTCTTTCTGTATCCAGCTTAGAAAAATAGAAAAAAAATCAAACAATATCATGTTACTTTTAGTTGTCTTGTCGTTATCACACTACCAGTACAACCCTGTCCTGATCACACTACCAGTACATCCCTATCGTGATCACATTACCAGTACATCCCTGTCGTGATCACATTACCAGTACAACCTGTCCTGACCACACTACCAGTACAACCCTGTGGTGACCACACTACCAGTACAACCCTGTCCTGATCACACTACCAGTACATCCCTGTCGTGATCACATTACCAGTACATCCCTGTCGTGATCACATTACCAGTACAACCCTGTCCTGTCCACACTACCAGTACAACCCTGTGGTGACCACACTACCAGTACAACCCTGTCCTGTCCACACTACCAGTACAACCCTGTCCTGTCCATACTACCAGTACAACCCTGTCCTGTCCACACTACCAGTACAACCCTGTGTACAACCCTGTCCTGACCACACTACCAGTACAACCCTGTCCTGTCCACACTACCAGTACAACCCTGTCCTGTCCATACTACCAGTACAACCCTGTCGTTATAACACTACCAGTACAACACTGTCGTGATCACACTACCAGTACAACCCTGTCCTGTCCACACTACCAGTACAACCCTGTCCTCTCCACACTACCAGTACAACCCTGTCCTGACCACACTACCGTTACAACCCTGTCCTGACCACACTACCAGTACAACCCTGTCCTGTCCACACTACCAGTACAACCCTGTCGTTATCACACTACCAGTACAACCCTGTCCTGTCCACACTACCAGTACAACCCTGTCCTGTCCATACTACCAGTACAACCCTGTCCTGACCACACTACCAGTACAACACTGTCGTTATAACACTACCAGTACAACACTGTCGTGATCACATTACCAGTACAACACTGTCCTGACCACACTACCGGTACAACCCTGTCTTGACCACACTACCAGTACAACCCTGTCCTGTTCACACTACCAGTACAACCCTGTCATGTCCATACTACCAGTACAACCGTGTCCTGACCACACTACCGGTAAAACCCTGTCCTGACCACACTACCAGTACAACCCTGTCCTGATCACATTACCAGTACAACACTGTCCTGACCACACTACCGGTACAACCCTGTCGTCATCACACTACCAGTACAACACTGTCGTGATCACACTACCAGTACAACCCTGTCCTCTCCACACTACCAGTACAACCCTGTCCTGTCCATACTACCAGTACAACCCTGTCCTGTCCATACTACCAGTACAACACTGTCCTGTCCATACTACCAGTACAACCCTGTCGTTATAACACTACCAGTACAACACTGTCGTGATCACACTACCAGTACAACCCTGTCCTGACCACACTAACAGTACAACCCTGTCGTGATCACACAGCCAGTACAACCCTGTCGTCACCACACTACCAGTACAACCCTGTCCTGACCACACTACAAGTACAACCCTGTCGTGATCACACAACCAGTACAACCCTGTTGCTTCTCTCTTTGTGTAAATACCACATGGCACATGTTACTTCAACGTAAGACATATTTTCGTCACACACGTTAATTTCTTCCTTTCACAAGTTCCTGTGTAATAGGTGTGTGCCGATAACAATAGGCTAAGGGAGGCAACTGAAATTAAGATTTAAAACGAGGACAAAAGAAATGTGCACTTGATCTCACGCTCAATTGTCCCATGGAAGGACATGACGGTATTGATCATACGCACGGTTTGCTAAAGTCACGTCTATTTCCGAAGAAGTCTTCTCTTTTCAATAAACATGTTCAGAGCTAACATCATTGCTAATACTGAGGTTACCTATATTCCATTAGTTATGTAATTAAGTAATTTTCTGAAATCATGGAATATAGTACTCAACTGTTTTCGGAAATACGACATTCTCTTCAACGAATACCAACTGTACCAACTCAGCTAGTAACTCTAACGCAGTTTATATCAATCAAAAGTCAACACAAAGGAAAATTGTGTCCTGTTACAATGATTTCCGTGTTGTTTCAGCTTTCAGTATGACGTGTACTTTGAGAAATTCGTTGCATCTGGAACTGGAAGTAGGAAAAGGGAAGCAAAGGAGGCGGCAGCAGACCGTGCTCTCCGGTCTCTATATAGCAACAGCGGAAACAATCAGGTTGAAACGTAATATCTAACTACAATCTATACGTTTAAATGTTCTGTTGTTTTAAAATCTTCCGTGTCTTCTACCAAAGACATATTAAAAAGACTTAAATAGATATGAAAAAATCAGACCTTGGCCTTTTCTTTCTGCTCTTTTTGTGCTTTGTCATGGAGTATGCATTGAATCTGTATGCCCCGTTTATCAAATTATGAGCACGGCTTATAATGCTTATAGTATGTAATCGATGTTCCTTCAAAATGATCCAATATTGAAAAGTTTACTGCATTTTTCGATGAATGTTTCCCTGATTTTCATTCACATTTCCGCGCTTTGAATCCCGTGCAAAACGAACTAGCCACAGAAGGCCTAAATAAGCTGTATCGTTTAGTTCAATTAATTGTCTGTAATATATTTGATAATGAATTTTTACTGCAATGTGGTATTACCTTGTGTATTATTTGTTAGTGAAAGGTTATCTGTGGGTTTAGCTTGACCCTACTTACTTGATTTGACCACGATTTACAATATGGGTCATCGTCGATGAAGCAGAAAACGCTTACCCAAACGGAACACCTGGTCTTATTATCTTTGTTCGTTTTCAAGAGCCTGCCTGTAAACATTTCTTCTGTTCATATTTTGCCCTAGTTTCAATGAATTTGAGTATAGATTATGATGCTGTTGTTATGTTGGCTTTGTCTCTTGTTACTTTTCAAGAAGAACTAAATGCGGGATAAACATTTCATCCTCCGAAGTGATATTCAGGTTGAATTCAGTTTGACTGTTGAAAAACAAATATACTAGAAATACCGGACTCAATGGGTCGCAATGGGATCACATTAGATGAAGTGATTTGGAATACCTATATATAATACAACCTTATTGGGTTCCGGATTAGGTGGTTTATTGTGTGCACCAATATCGATCTATCATTTAGTATTGATTCAGCAGTTGTAAGAACATTTAGTTTTGTGTGTTATTAATGTTGGTGACAGCCCCTTTGTACCAATAAAACAAAGTGTTTTAGTTCACTTTATTCTTATTTTACTTCAGTCCAAAACAGATTTTTGGACAATTTATTTTACACTATTTGAAGATGTATTAGCACATAATCACAAATGGACTCCATTAGGAAGTTGTATTTTTGACATTCAGAAAATTTCGCTTAATGTGAAAAGAGCATGTTCTTTCTCAAAATCCATCACATAATTATTTCCTCTCCCAAATGTCAAACTTTGAAATAATGCCTTGCATATATGATATCTATTTGCATGTTAATGTTAAGTTTTCTTTAAAAATGAAGAAATGATATTGTAGCATTTCCCACAAAAAACATTGTTTTTTTTCATTTTTTGACACAAAAAGGGCACTATATTCTTGCATATGTACATGTTTGGACTTCAATATATGTAAACATTCGACTACAGAGCACAAATAAGCTGTTGTATTTGCTTCTTACGCCAATTTGAAACCCTATCGTTTACATGTAGTATTCCCTCGGTCCTTGTTCTTCTTGTTGTGCCCTATTAGTTGTGGAACTGTTGGAAATAAAGGAAAAAATGGTGGGCGTGAAGATCCCTTTAGAGTCTCGTGTTCAGGAGTTTCCGTGTAAATTTTTCTATTGTGAATATTTTGCCTAATTTGAATTACGATTCTGTTAACAAGTTGGTATCTCCTCTGTTGGTTTTTTTTAACAGAGTGAAGCAAATCATCAATCGGATGAGACCAGCACTTATATGTATATCAGGGATGGCATGATTTGTTCTGATAAGGAAGAAAATGGAAGTGAAAGTGAAAGTTCGACTTATGCCGTCTCAAGAGAATTAAGCAAATATACTCCTTCTCGTTCAAATGTAAATTTGCCGAGCTGGGGCCAAATAGAGCAGACGAGTCCTACCAACTGCATTTCTTCAGTATCAACTGGAAAAAATCCCATTAGTGCATTCATGGAATATGCACAAGCAAAAGGAGAAATTGGCAGTTTTGAAGAAGAAGCTAAATGGGGCCCTTCTCATTGTCCAACGTATGTATGTTCTTGCGAAGAATTACTAAGCTCCTTTAATATCAGCGATATTTTTATTTGTAAATGACTTTGATATGATATGCTGGGAACAAAAGGTAGGGTCACATTAAGTTTAATGGTCAATTTAATAATAATCAAAGTGTGAAGTCAAACAATACGAAACACTTTTGACCGACCTATTTTGAATCAATTTCATTCAAGCATTCAGTGGGTTCAGCATCACTGGTTGTGTTATTAGATGAAGGTCACCATGTAGTCATTGAAACGTCATACTCTAATCTTCTACTGACATTACCAACTCCAAAAACAAAATCAGGGCAGTTTTGCTTAATCTCGAATGTCATTGATTTTAGGTCCCTCTGTAGAATAATGATTTTTGAAAAATATTAAAGTTGCCGTGTCTTCTCCATGATAATCTCCCCGCTACAGTAATAATATAGTTTTATATTTGAAATCATGACTCTATAGTAAGCGAACTTATGATTTATTCAAGGAGCATCGTCAACCCGTAGTAGATAAGATCATTTGCAATAATATTTATGGTGATCCTGCAATTTCTCATGTGAAAACAAGCTAGCAGGGATTCGATGCAAGTTTCAGACAGCTTCTTTGGATTGTAAGTGTTAACTAGGTTTTTTATTGTGATGATGAAGGTACCACATATTGTGGCATCAGATGTAAAAGCTGAGCTTCACAAGGACGCGGGGACTGGGGATAGTACTCGGACTGATGAAACCAAGTCAATGTTATTAGTGTTTGCCAACATGTTAGAAATCTTCCTGACGTTCATGCAGTGTCCTATAATTGTTGAGTGATTTGTGTTTTTACGGCCCGTGATATAAACATGCAATTTACATGATAGTCGGTCGTTTTTTTCGAACCTAATTTATTGATAAATCGTTCACAACCAGTATTTTCGTCATCATATTTTCAAGCATATATTTTTCCATGGGGGCAAATAAATATTTATTTTTATCTTTTATTATTAGAATTTTATGGGCATTTGTAGCTACTACCAAACAGTATGGGTCGTTTAAGTTACAGATGAAGATCTGTGGATGTTTTGCTCCATAGAAAGAGTACAGGAAAACAGCGTATTTCTCACGAAGCTGAGAAGATGGCTCATCCAATTTTCAATCTTGGCTGAATATTATGACTTTGTTGACATGACGATAGCAGATAACTGCTGACAGATCAATATAAACAGTATGCTGTAATGCTGTCTGCCCTAACGAAGATTACTCCGCGCACGTGAAAACCTATGATTTAATTTTGTACATAGCTATGGCCAAACTCAATCCAACAGGATATGAGAGAAACCAAATATCTTACATGATTTGTTGAAACTGAGAATCGACACTGAATTTGTAATAAATGTTGAGACAGTTTGCCATACGACTCCTGATTGATACGATAAATAATCATCTACAACGATTTATGCATTGCTGAACACTTACGTCGCTGTTGATCCCTATAATTTTTCTGGAAAACTGATGGAAAATTCAGATACCACAAAAAGTAATTAGACTTCAGAGAACACCTGCCTGCTTTGTGTTTTCAATTTATGTTTCCTTTGATAGTTGGATTTAACTTAATCATTATTTTTTTATACTTAACAATAGATTCAAAATACGGGCTCTTCTTGGTAAAAGAAAATTAGCTGAAGGAACTGCAGGTAATAAGAAGGATGCGAAGAAACGGGCGGCGGAAGCATCCATTAATATGTTGTCCACAAGCTCACCAAGCAATGCTTTGGTTTATCGGGATTCCGTGGTAAGAAAGCTATCCTTTTTAAATCGGGACAATAGGCAGTGGTTGATATATTTGTATGTGCTGGGGACGATCTGAAACTTCAGTATGTGTACTACTATTAACGTATCTAGGTTATCATACAATGTTGACCTCTTTACTGATTTGCTCTGGTTGTGATTAAGAAAACTCCTCGACCATTTCCAACATTAGTATTTTTTTCGGCTATTTATGAAAATTTAAAAAAATAATGTATCGTTTCTTCGCACATAAATTTTAATCTTACAGAATTTCCAGTATGAAGACGATATTTCGTATCTACTAGTAAATGGTTTGTACTCTATTTTAGATGTTCTAGTAATAAGCATTCACATGTACTAATACCCAAGCTGTTCACATTAATTCAGGATGCTGTATAGTTTGCTACTGAGAAAGCATGTTTCGTCTGTTTAAGCCCACTCTTTCACGATTACTGGACGATCAGAATACCAGTATATATCCTGCTGGAGCTGACCCAATCAGTGTCCTTAATGAATATGCCCAGAAAAGGGATCTAGAACTGACTTTTCCGGATCAGGATGTTTCCGGGGCAGATCATGAAAGAACGTACGTTAACCATCTAAATGTTACATTTTGATAGACAAGTTAACGGATAATTATGGCATTACCCTATTCCTACTTGGGAACGTGACACTACTTTCTTACATTGACCAAAAATTACTTGGTGGGGTGTGTCATTGATGTTGCAGTAGCCGATTACCTTTCTGGAACACCTGGCCTTTTTTTGTTTTTTGTTTTTGTTTTATTTAGTATTCTCCGCGTAAATCTTTCTTTTGTTCATATATAGTTTGATTTAAGATTCATGTCGGTATTTTGTTGTAGTTTTTTAATTTAAAGAGAATTAACTTATAGGGTATTGTAAGTTGTAAATTTATATCTCTGATGACTCCTCAAGGTATTCAACCTAACCTCTAATCCAACCTTCTAAATGCACATACCAAAATTGGCATTGAAGAAATACGGATTTGAAGAACTCCATCATGCTTCATTCAGCCTAAAGCATCATCTAATCTTATGAAACATGCCTTTTCAATGATATCATTTGCTTTTCTGTCCCTAATTGTGTGGGTTTTTTGTCTTTTGTTTTGTTTTTGGTTTTTGTTTTTGTTGTTTTTTGTTTCATAAGAAGCTGAATGCACCAGAATCTGTCCTGGCCGATTACAAAGGCTCAAGTTCTTCATTTTGATTTTTAGAACAAATATATGATGGGTTGTCTTTAAATAACATGATTATCAACCATATGTGTTGTATTTACCATTACAAGGACACGACAGGGTTGTACTCACTCTCCACTTATATCAGTCTGTCAACGTCGTCACCACAGTGACTGACCTCCACTTCACAGTTTAATGGATATAACGATCTTGTTCCCAATTTAGACCAGATAACCTGTCTTCGTTGCGACTTTTATTTACTAGAGTGAAAAACCAGAAAGAATTAGTGAGCAATCGACATGATAAATGTATTGGAAGTCATATTAAAACATTTTATTTCAAGTTTTAAAAGTTACTTATTTTAATAACTGGCTCCTAATTTTGGGGTAGATAACATATTGAAGGCATTCTAGCAAAATTCCCAATATCACGATTTCAGGGGGTAATTTGGACAGAGGACATTAATAACAAGCAAATTCAATAAAACTGTGGTAAATATAAAAAAAACATTTACAAGGAGACTCCTGAAAAATTACAAGGAGAATAAGACCAGACGTTCCACATGAGTAAGCGTCTTCTGCTTCATCGACGACATCCGCCATGTAAACCTTGATCAATCTCAGTAAAATGTCATTTTTTCTTATGAGAACAGGGTAAACAGTAACGGAACCAACAGGCAAACTAACGGGAGAGAGAGAATATTTCTTTATAGGATCCCCATGACGTGCATAAATCTTTCCCCATAATTTTCGTCAGAATGTATTTTTTGAAATCATGCCATCGTGATATCAGGAGCATGCCCCTGAATATCAAATCAACTGCGACAGGTAAGCAACATAGGTTTGAGATACAGGGATGTTGAAGCCGGATGTACCCGATACTTGTTATTATACCTAGAGGTTTTATGAGAAAGTGACATAACATTCCTAAAAAAAAGGAGAACGCGATGTTTACACTGGTTTTATCCTCATTTTTTCCTAGAATGTAAGCTTTATAATAGAGTAAGAATAACGCTTTTCAAAGTATAAACATGTTGAATATAGATCAAGTGAATTTACGTCTATTTTTATTTGGAAATGAAAATCTGCCCCTGACTACCAATACAGAAGTATTCAGATATGTACAAATTTTTTATCAAATCCAGCAACATATTTAAAGCCCCAATATACGTAAAAATCACTATGAAAAAAAAAACTTCATCTTATTTTCCCCGTAATATATGTAACAAAACAAATACTTTCCTTTAATTATAGAAAATAAAACTGACTGTTTTCAATTTAAATAAAAATTGAAAAAATCGGAAAATAAACCATGTGGGACCCACAATAATTCATACATTACCGCTCGTAGCGATGACATTGCGCATGCGCATATTCCGCGTATGTAAACATGGCAGACACAGTATAGACGTTCACCAGTCGCTTCCTTTTTTTTCCAATCAAACATCAGGCCCGTTCTGAATTCTTACGTTATAATTGTGCGTCGTATCGTTTCTAAACTAATTATTCCTTCTAATAATTTCCCAAAACTGAATGTTTATCACAGGAATACCTGAAGTCTACGACAAGACTTCGCAAACAATGTGTGTAAACAAAAACTTACCGTAGACATATCTGCATGTGCTTCCTCTGTAAGTAGAAACCTCAACTCTCGCGAGATCAGGTCACGAACGTGGTTCGGCAACAATCGTAATTTCGATGGCGGCGTGTTTAAAATGGAGGTGTGTTTACAAATAGCGAGTTTCAACTGCTCATATACATTGTATCAATACTTTATGCATAAAGTAATGGTACCTATTGTTTGAATGACTTAATTTTAACTACATCTTAGAGAATATCTCAATAATTATGTGTGATTCTACACTAAATTTTTGGTGAATGTTACGTATATTGGGGCTTTAAGTAAAATGTACTAACTGTTAAATACATCATGTATGCCTTGTTTATGTTATCATGTAAATTTTATCATGTATTGTATTAGAGGAAAAGGCGGTTATAAGTTGAAATAACTTGTACCTAGTCCTCTGCTCATTTTTGGGGCAATAGATATGTTTCAATCTAGAAAATTTTATCCTCCTCTGTACGTTGACACAGGTCTTTCGTTCTTGTTTTGGCCTCGATTTATCGATTTTGAATTTGCTTACGATTTTCAGATTCGTCTTTCTTTGTTGTGTTTATGACAATAACTCGTTTAAACCAATCGTTCTAGGTTTACGCTTAGGGCGATGATAGGAAATATGGACTTTCCCTGGGCATCAGGCAGTACAATCAAAGAGGCAAAACGAGAAGCGTCCCGAAAAGCATTAAAGCAGTTAAAACAGAACGGACTCTATTACTACCAATCCGGGATGTCTACGGTAAACCCTGATTTCTTATTCATTAGTAGTTTTATTGTTTTTGTTTAATTCCACGTTTACGTAATGCTAAAGTAATTATACGTACACACATCAACCTTTGGCGAAAGAAAAAAGGTTTTAAAGCCGTCAGTTATGAATATAATAGAGTTTTCTTATTTGTTTGATTACTCAAAATGTTTACCTTAATTCATTTATTTAGATATTATGAAAAAATGATGTCATTTGTTTACTATTAAATGGCTCCTACGAGGGCTGATTGATAAGTTTCGAGCCTCATATTGAAAGCGGCTATTACCTTAGACTTCAACATCGAGAAATAGAGAATTCGGCTTATGAATAATATAATATAACCATAATAAAGAGATACACGCGCCTATAACATCAAATTTGTTGTTTTTGTACATATTTTCGGCGTCGGAACATTGTTTATCCTGACTATTGTTTATAAACATGTTCACGCTCGGTTGATTACGAAGAAAGCCGAGTGGGTCACCTGACTTGTCACGTGACGAAGTAATTTACTTCCGCCCCAAAGAAAACATGGATTACGAGTTAACAAACGCACGTCTTATGTATGACACTTGCTTTTGCGCCTTTCTGTGAATTCTTGTTTGCAGTATATGATTATATAGTGTTATAATATATAATTATTAACAATCAATCTTAGTAATTTGTTTTGTTTTGGCTTTGTCGTGCGAGAATTATCTTTGTCATTCGCGGGCGTTAAACTAGTGAGGTCCCAAAGGGGGTAATTGCAATCGGAAAAAAACAAAAAAAACGTATTGTTCAGAAATGTGCAGGAATTGATACTTTATCTGTACACATTAATAGATATTGCACTGTTTATTATGATGTCTATGTTTATCATCACGGTTGTTATTCTTACAGTAACACCAGTACCGTCATAGTTTTACACTTAGAACGAATACCCTCAATTTTGCAATCAACAGCAAACACACGTTGTCGATAGTGAATTCAAGCTAATAACACAACTATTTTCATTCAACATTTATCAGATAACACTTTTATGGTTTTGTTAATAACATAATTATAGGGCTGACGTTAAGTTAACCAATCAAGCAGCAGTTTCGCAAATTCCGAATCCGTATTCAGTCCAAGATCCTCGTTCATCTTTCGCCATCTATCGAACTCCTGATATAAATTCTTGCCTGTCCTCTTTTCTGGTCTGGCTCCTTCCTCTTACGCTTTCTTGCACTTTCTGTAAGGTAACTTTTAGGTCCTCGTCGCCTTTTCGTATTTGCGTCAGCCATATTGCTTCTTTCTAGGCTTATTCGCATGCGCAGCATCAGGGTTACGAGCCTAAATGTATGAATTAGATCAAGACCGCTATGTTTACATTTTTTATTTTTTAGATATCAATAAAAATGGTTGCAGTGACTTTTAATTTTAGTAATTAACAGAAAGTCTTAGTTTTGTAACATACTATTAGAAAATAGAACGTTTCATATCGTAGTGTTTTTTAACATTATAGTCGCTTTAAGGGTTTGGCTTTCGGTGAGATCAGGGGAATAAGGTGAATACTCAATCATTTCAAAGCCACAATAGTTAATGGTAACCATGACATGACGTACTTGTGAACAGGACATTGTCCTGGTGGTACAACACACTTGTACTATATTTTCCGCGGCGCTTGAGCTTGATGTTTTTGAAAACTATTTCCTTTGAACTGCCAAGAGGTGATGTATACTATAAGTCATTGCTTGCGTGTCCCTTGTACAGATAATCTACTACCAGAATACTATCATGATCCCAGCAAACCACAGTCACAACCTTTCCAGTTAATGGAACAGTCTTGCCTTCTTTGGCTTGGGTGAACCAGTGACTTCCATTGTCTAGATTGTTTGGCCTCTAGAGTGAAATGATGGTCTCATGTTTTAAACATAGTCACAAATCTCTACAGAAAGCTAGTAGGCCTCTTTAAGATTCAAACATGGCGACAATGTCCACCAGGTGTTCTGATCAACTGGCAGAGATCTTGGTACCCAACTTTCTTAGGGCTTTCTCACTACAAGACCTTCTGTAAGAGAGGAATGTACTCATTCCTGTGAAATCCCAACTTTACTGGCTATATATGTCTCTGTACCTCGTCTGTCAGTGATAACAATATCATGGACTTCATTGACTATTTCTTGGATTGCAATAGTGATGGGCCTTCCAGGGCGGGCATCATCCCACTGGCTCTGTCTGCCACGCTTAAAGTCCGCCATCCACCTATTCAATGTAGCATATGAAGGGACATCATTCCCTTATGTTACCAGTTTTCAGGAATGATATCCTTTGGTGTTATGATCTTTCATGAGCAAATATTGAACCTCTGCTATTTCAGCGATTTTCTCCATTTTGCAAAGTCACTTGGCGTCTTTACTTTAGAGTGCTACCTCCTCTCCATCAACTCATCAACTGACCAAATGACACTTGTTTTTGGGTACTCAGTCTTAAATAGTCAGGAATTAGTAGAGCTGAAAAAGGATATCCCTGCTTAACTTCTTCAATAACACAAGGATCACAATTGATCAATCAGCCCTTGTAAATATCATGCGATGATGTACAATGCACATTAGTTTATTGTGATTGCAGTTCACGATAAGCCAGCCACTGACATTCCAGGACAGAATGGCTAAGCTCTGCCATGAGAAATTTGATAGAGTCGTAGCAGACATATCTGAGAACCTCGCCGGTCGTAAGGTGATAGCAGGCATCGTCATGGAATCTACAACTAGCAAGACCTTTGACGTCATCAGCATAGCTTCCGGTATATATCCAAGATGATTGTATTGGTTGCTCGTTTCACTAATCAATTTTGTTGAATTTAAAAGAAAGCTGCTCAATCAGTACTTTTAATTTTTTTGTAAATGGATGTATAAACCATGTGATAAAAGCATTTAATGTATGTACATTGCTCTTTTGGCGTCATGTCATTATTTAGAATAGATAGCGCAATCTTAAAACGTCTCACACTCTAATATACATCGAAAAATGTTGCGCTGTTGAACTGATTTAGATTTTCAAGTTAAAACGGCTGATTTTCAAAAATCCATATGATGTCCATTTAGGTCATTGTTCTCGTGTTCAACGTGATGGTAAAATGTTCAATTAGTTGACAGAACATCCATCTTGGCGAAACATCAATATAAGCGAGTCTAGTCTTTGTTTGTAATTACTTGACAGCTGTCTTGGCGAGTCTTCTTTTCATGACTTGTTATTACTTGACACCTGTCTTGGCGAGTCTTCTTTTCATGACTTGTTATTACATGACACCTGTCTTGGCGAGTCTTCTTTTCATGACTTGTTATTACTTGACACCTGTCTTGGCGAGTCTTCTTTTCATGACTTGTTATTACTTGACACCTGTCTTGGCGAGTCTTCTTTTCATGACTTGTTATTACATGACACCTGTCTTGGCGAGTCTTCTTTTCATGACTTGTTATTACATGGCACCTGTCTTGGCGAGTCTTCTTTTCATGACTTGTTATTACATAAAAGTTATCTTGGCGAGCCCATTATTACACATCATCCATTCAGTTGAGTCTAGTTCTATTGATTACAAAATATCTACCCATTTAACCAATATCTATATTGTCATTATTACAGAATGTATAAATATAGGTGTAAATTACTCAGGTTGAGACTTTGTTGTACTAGATGTAGTTGATGTATGAGAATGATCTAATACTAAAAGGAAAGTGTGTGTAACCTAGCTTTTCTTTCATTTTTAAGGGAACCGTTTCATCAAAGGAGATGCACTGACGACAGAGGGACAAGTGCTGGTGGATTCGCACGCTGAGATCTTAGCGTCACGAGGAATGAGAAGGTGGTATTCAGAACAACTGTAAACACAGTTTATAAGTAAGGATTTAATGCTGGTAGAGCTCTGTGTGGTTCACCATCCATGAAAAGATACTTTTTGAAAGTGTTACTTTAATATTCTTACAATTACATTTGTGATCCAAATTAAACTTAAAATAAACAATGTTAGAAGAGTTTTGAAAATCTGGAAACGTTCTTTGACGTTAGATAGTTAGGCATGACAACATGACGAAACTATCTTAATTGACTCCTGAACATGGTTGTCTATAGTTTTCTGTTGAAGAATCGCTTACAGAACTGTTTTAACTTCCAAATAAGAAGAAACGTCAAATGTACACGTGAAGTATTTGATTGAAAACTAACTTAAATAACAATCGCTTCTTTTGCAAAAGTGCGGAATTTTAATGAATAACTAGACAGCACCTCTCTAATATTGCAGGTAGATGAAAGTTTCCGAAACACCCGGTCTTATTATCTTTGTATTTTCCATGAGTGTCCGTGCAAATCTACCTTTTTTGTCAATTTTTTTCCTAGTTTTATATAAGTTCGGTCTGGTTTATGAATATGTTGACATGTTAGTATTTTCTTATTGTTTTATTTTGTCCTTTATAATTGTCCCTTTGATCTTTCCTGTAATTTGAAATATTACACTGATAAGACTGATAGGTATTTCCTTCCTGTTCTTGTCATTTTCCTTTCTGTCTTAATTGCCGTTCCCTTTCCAGTTAATGGAAAATTATTCATTTCAGAGTGAATTATCGGAAATTTCGAGGGCTATTTCGATAATATCTCACGATTCTTTAAATACATTAGGATAAGTATTGTCAGGTCCCACTTTTTAAAGAATACGTTTTCAGTATAACTTATCACGTTTCCTTTGGTATTCAATGTTTTCCTCATTTGAGTATATGTAATACTCTTTGAAAAAGATATATTTGCTGTTGGACTCTTGTGTAAAGTTCACTAATGCAGTTGCCATTCCATGATCAAACTATCGGAGTCTACATGTTTCGTGATACCGATTTCAACACTTCTCTGTAATTGATTACATTGAATCAACGCAATCTACACTTGCAGGTTTCTTTACAATCACTTGGCAAAACTCAGTAGAGGGGAAAAGTCTTATGTCCTGCGACGACATGGGGCAGGGAAGGCTGAAGTAGTTCCAGATATCAAGTTTCACTTGTACATATCAACCGCACCATGTGGTGATGGGGCAATTTTCACGCACAGGTAACCACACCTGTTTAGGTTCATATGTTATATGATACAAAATTGTTATATAAACTTTCAAGCGCCGATATGATGTATTATCATGATGTTCATTTTTATATTCCATGTGGGAAAAAAATAAGATATCAGCTTAGTTTGACCTGATCACTGTTCAACGTCTGCTTTATCAGCTATTTAAATAGAATTGGTATCATGATGCATTTTTGTTCACACACGTACATTCAGTACTGGCCAATCAAATGATGAACCAGGCAGTCTGAATGTAAAAGATCACAATCCAACCTTTGCCGATAACAAACAAGGACAACTGAGGACAAAGATTGAGCAAGGTAACATCTCATTGAGCTTTCTTTTCCTGTTAATAATATCAGTGTTTCCTAGTGTCCGCTGTGAATATGTCAAAATCTATTTCAAGGAGCATTATTTAGTGTTGGCTGACAAACATATCGCCTTATTTCCTGGGTTGTTGTCTCTGAATATAATACACCAATGTACGACCAAATTTAATGAGGCTTATCCTTTTTCATCGGTTTTATCAATGCTTCTGGATTAGAAATCGCGACAACACAGGCTGATCAAATGAGAAAAATTTATTTCATCATTTTAGCGTTCTATCTATGATTTGACTTGTTAGAAGATGGAAGTGTGTTTAAATATAAGTGCCTTTTGTTTATATTTTGCCATAGTTTTATTGAATTTGAGTTAGGAATATGCTCATGATGACATGCTAGTGTTTTCTTGTTGCTTTGTTGTTCTTACATCATGTGACAGAGTTTAACATTCACTCACCATTAACATTTCCAGCAGCAGTTTTACTGCATGTGCTTGGCTTTTAGAAACATCTATTAATTGATGGAATAGAGATATTCATAGAATTCATTTTTATTTCAAATTACATCAAACCTTATACCCAGAAGACACATTTCTGATGTAAATTTCCGAATCATACATTTCATGAATCCCATTTCAAAAATATATTGTGTTGGTTCTGTAAGGACAATTGTTAAAAGGTGTACATTGTTTATATTTTACATTGCAGTCACTTACTCATACATCCTGATTCGGATCCCCGTTATAGATGATTTCTTCAAAAATATTTGTTTCTGATAAAGAATTGCCTTGTCTTGAAGGTGAAGGACAGATTCCGACGAATAAGATGCACGTGAGTCACCAGTACCAGGCCATGGATGCAGTGAGAGGCGGAGAGCGACTGCTCGTCATGTCCTGCAGTGACAAGATTTGCAAGTGGAACATGTTGGGAATGCAGGGGGCACTACTGGCCAGTCTAATGAAGCCTGTATACTTCAGCTCCATTACATTAGGTAGAGAAGTAACACTGACAATATGTTAATCAATAATTATTTATATATGTTACCAAATGATGTTAATTGTTTACTCATTTCTAAACTAGTGTACATGTATATATTCCTGCTCTTTCTATATGTAAGTTAGAAATGAATGTTAATTGTTCTTTACCCACATTGTTATACCTTGAAGGAACTCTATACAATCACGGACACATGGCGCGAGCGATGTGCTGCAGATTAGATAATAACGTCCTGATGATGCATGACATATTGTCAGATGGTTATAAAGTTAATCATCCATTGCTTGGTGCTGTATCTCGCAAGGAAGACCCTAGACGTAGCGTTGACAAATCGACTTCGTATAGTATCAACTGGAACACTGCGGACGATAGCACCGAAATGACGGACGGTCCTACCGGTCTACAACACAGCGGTGGATACAGTAGATCTACGTAAGATATGCTTAACACTTTCTTGAATCTGATTTTCTAATTTGATAACTATAATTTTCAGCGTTTATATTGATAAGAATAATTATATTAATTATTGCGACTTTATCAAAAACACATAAAGTGAATTCTATAACATTATGGCATCACTAAAACCTGAGTAGGATGCGGTCAGATGGCTAATCGTAGTTGTAGCAGAATTAATTCTTTCTGTGATCGCTTGCCCTTCTGGAACACCAGAATTTTCCCGTGTATTTCTTTAGGGTTTCCGTTTCATTCTTTTGTTGTTCCTATTCTCACGTAGTCTCCTCGATTCTGCGTTTGAATTGAAATTGAGTTTAAATGTCAGTATTGTTTAAAAGCGATGTATTACTGTTGATTCTGAAATCCAGGTCAAGATCAAGATTGTGTAAACAACAGTTTCTTCAGTTATACAAACAAATCTGTACGGATGTAGGCTTTCCGCACTTGGTCAAAGACGATTATCTGGCGACCAAAAGAGCATCTACAATATATCAGAGTGGCAAGAAGGCTATGTATGCGATCCTTCACAGTAAGGGGTATGGCACCTGGGTAGGGCTGCCGAGAGAATGCCAGGAATTCTCCACGACTTCCACACCCACTGTCCATCGTATTGTCGGCCTACTTCATTGAGGGATCTATCGCTTCCAAATCCATCATCTGGTGATCGAGTTTATTCCAGTCTTTCCATTATGTCTGAGGAATGAAGGACAATTTTCATTTATTCCCTTTCTTGAAAGACTTACATTGATTTGTATGGAGAACAAATGTTGATAATTTCAGCATACATAATCTTTGATGATATATTTTAATAACTGTAAAATTCTGCGTTTAATCGTGAAATTAGTGCAAATCACCTTCGCTATTTGCTTTTATTTCTATATACAATAATTCACTAACATGTCTATTTCTTATCGTGTTTTATTATAAATTCAGCACCAGAACATCGACATAACCTACGTTGAATGGTAATTTGACACTGTTCATATATGTAGAATCTTATTAGTTGCGCTATGACATAGAAACCAAAATACTATGTTTACTAAATGTGTTTTTAAATACATATCGATATTAAGGAGAATATGTATTCACAACGATAATCTGATACCCATATAATTTTATACGAGTTGTCACTTTTTCTTTTTTATAATAATTTCAATGTATTATAGTTTTACAAGTATTTCATTAAGTTGATTATATGTTAAATAAAACCACCAATTAAATGAATGTTATCCTAAAATTTCACTACTTTGAATGCTGCATTAAATATGTGTTCGCATCATACCGCTGTTTCATCCAGATAAGACTCGTAACGGATGCTAATGGCTCAAAGTTTGAAGCCAAGGAGCCGATTGACAAAAATCTCGTGGAATCGAAAAACAAGTAATAATATAGTCGAGGAGGTGTTGCGGCCCAATCACTTAATGAATTTTGTAATTTTAATATATCAGATAGTTTTAGAACAACTTCAAGTAAACGAGTATGTTCTGAACCATAAATTGATAACGTAATTAGATGGTGGTGTTTTTTGTTTACTTTTAATGTTGTATCATTACAGTGTGCAGCCAGAATGGACATTAAACATCTAAGTACTCTCATTTTGATAATAAATAATACATCGCTATTTCACACGTTACATATCGCAGAATTGATAAAAATTACTTCATCAACAACTAATGTGGCCGTTGATACTCTGAAAGGAGATCCTAAACGTGTTAGAGTGTTAACCTACCCACAAGAAGTTCTCAGAGCTGAATCTTCCGTTGCCCCTTTGCTTTTGATCATACATCCGGTTCCGGCTGTTATTAACGATGTATAAATCATCTATAAGATTTGAGGTCACACAAAGATACACATGTCTAATGGGCGTTTTTCATTTGATAATAAATTGAAAAAAAATAGATACATTAAAAACATCTATAATTTATTGAACTAAAATGAGAATTAGAGAGAATCGTTTAACCGCAGGGATATGAAGTGCATTGTAGTCATGGACAACATTATTAATAAACCATTAATATACAGCCTTCGATCAAGTTAAAGTGCTATACAAGAGCCAACGGACCTCGCGTCACGTACAAAGAGCTCAAGCAAAAATAGCTTCTTATAGCAACAATTGAGCTATTGTTCCCAGTATCGAGAAAATAGTGATTTTTTTTTTATTCCTGAATCGTTGCTATGTCCTTACATCGGTAATCAAGTAATGAAAGCGAACGATTAATTGATTAGGATATGTATACCCTGTCCGATAGTATAATAACTATCAGATATGAATCAAAACAGACAATAACCATTGTTATGGCCAGAAATAATCACCGTCAGAATTAGTTTTTGAGTATTCGACCCCTATCAGATTGATAGGGATCTTCTGTTTATTGTCAAATAAATGTGTAAATGAAAGAATGGAGTTAGTTTTCAATTCTACGTAGCTATGTGTAGCGGGTGTATTTTGTATCATATAAGACAAAACCGCTGGGTTCTTTTCCAAAATTTAATCATTGATCGATGTAAAATAGACACTCTGAAATATACAATATAACGTAATCAAACACTCTCACATTCACAAATCTCTCGTTACATACTCATTACTCAACAATTCATACTTCTTTCATAGACTTGTTACATTTCACATAGTCAAACTATGTCATTACGTTTACACTTGAATAAAATATAAGATTTAATAAAATACTTCTAATAATTAAAACATGACCATTCTAATTAGAGTAAAATAACACTTACAACACGTATAGTGCGCTAATGTATAATGTCACAGTCGCACCACTCCATAATATCACCACATCGTCGTTACAAGTTACGGCGCAACTACAACCAATGAATGACCTGATATTACAATTTATGTAATATCTTAAGAAACACGTAACGCTTAGAAGTCCATCAATTACATGATTTATGGATAATACAATACATACGTGTTCACACCAAATACTATTCTGAACGTTCAGTTATATATAAAAATATTACTGCTGCAATTACATTCTTCATAAATACAAACACTCGACGGGAAGAATATAAAAGAAATACTAAATAGAAACAACTAGAAAGAAATAAAACTAGAGGAGACTTACCGGAAAGATGAAATCTGAAGAGCTAAGACATTTGAACGACCGTCACAGAAAACAGCGGAGATTCAAATGTACCCGATAAAAGAAAGAGACAAAAGACATATACCCAGGAGAAACTTTGGACCAATGAAACAACACCGTCCAAGTCCGTCACATGTCACGTGTCCAGTTGGACAGTGAACAGTACTCACGTACACAAGTACATACATACATACTACACAAACGCGCGCAGGTAAAACTTGACACTAACGATGTGTCTGCGAAAACATAATAATACACATGTATATAACCAGTACATTATATATATATATAGAAAAAACTTGATTTGGCGAGATGCGAGTAAATTATAAATAAAAATGATTTTTGACAAAAGAAGAAAGACGTTACATTTTGCACTAGCGCTTTCACTGTATTAGATCTTCAGGTGCATAGTAACTGTACATAATGGTGTGGCGTCACAATATGTTATCTGTTGATGACGTCATAATATAAAAGGGGCATAATTATATTTTGCAAACTTTACAATGCGGTTAAACATTAATATTCAAGTCTGGTTTTAAAATGTTTATAATTTCTGACTCCTTGGCTTCTCTTTGTATTCGTTTCAGATGAAAAAGTATACAAAGTAGCCGTCGTTGCATCCTGCATGTGTCGGCTGATTGGTAGATGTCTATAGATGCAAACATTGCCAATATGAAATATCACATAAAAGACATAACATGAATGTTACAAGTCGTTGCATCCTGCTACAACTATGTGTCATTTTTGTGTTTTCAGCTGTCTGACTGATTGGTTTCAGTATTAAAAGTACATTCTTCACATAAATATGACAAGGTATTGCAAATTGGGTTCATTCATTAAAAAATTGAGCTTCTGCGTATGAAAATATGACAGGATTAGGGTATAATAAAAAGTATACAGGGATTGAGCTCTAAATACAATACAATAATATTTGATTAAGGTCAATTCACATCACATATAAAAGATTTGGAAAAAGCCGTCGTTGCATCCTGCTATGTGTCGGCTGATTGGTAGATGTCTATATCTTTCGTCGTTGCATCCTGCTTTTTCTTGATTCTTTATACATTCTTTGGCAGATATTGTAGAACATGTAAGTAGATTATATAAGTTATTGTCCCTAAGGAGTTTAATAACTTTGTTCTCCCAGCTGCGATTGACAGAAACAGACCAAATATGTATTTTCTTGGGTAATCTAACCTCATCCAAGAATTTTATATTTATCCACAGTCTACAGACTTCAACTTTTCGGTTCACTTCACAAGAGTT